TATCCGAGGCTGGTGCATCGTGGGGAAGAAGCAGACGTGCCCCTACTGCAAAGAGAAGGTGGACCTGAAGAGGATGTTCAGCAACCCGTATCCTTTGGGTCCTTGTTGAGAGTGGGTGGTGGGAAGAAAGTACTGTCGGTGTCTGGGTCCTCCTGGGGCAGGGCCATCAGTACTGTTCCCACTCTAGAATTTGTTTACCATTCAGTTTGGTTTCTGTTCTTGGGAAGTGGGGTGTGACGTGAGACAGCAGGGAAACTCAGCTGCCCATCATAATTACAAGTGGCCACTGCCACTTGTTATGTGTCTGCTTCCTCTCTAGAAAGTTCTTCACCTGTATCATCTCACCTGATTCCCTGGCAACTTTTAGAGGCTGAGCAGTAGTCACAGTTACTTCACCAGTGAGTGATGTGCATCTGGAGACTACCTTTACCTGTGCAGGCACGGCCTGGAGGAGCCGGCCAGTTTGGGACACCTTTTCTCCATTCACTTCTAATGAAGTTCGGAGCTGCTTCCTTGGCACTTACTCCCCTTCCTACCCAGCCTTTCTTTGGTCCTACATTCCTTTTCTGTGGGGTCCAAGGATCCAGCTCTGTCTCGGCCCCTACCCTAGCTGTCCTTTGTGTCATTCCCTCTCCCTATATACTAGCAGGTCTGGTCAGGGGACAGGAGGACTTCAAAAGCTTCTTGGCCAGCTTTCCTCCCAGAGGCACTTTGCAGGTTTTCTTTCGTCTCTCCAGACCCCCTTCCCTACATTTAGATGTAAAGTAAAAGGAAACGAGCTCATCCAAAGAATTCTTGGCCTCAGGAGGCCTTCCTTCAAGTCTCGGCCAAGGGTGAGCTCCTTGTGACTACCTGTTGTTTCCTTTTCCCTCTGACCCTGTCCTGTTTTGTTATGCTATTCCTGGGAAGATATGAATAAACATCTACTCACCCCAGATGGGAATCAACGGCAACCAAAGCAAGGGCACCACCCAAGTACACCCTGGTGAGCCAGTGACTTTTATTAGTGTTACTTAGAGGAATATGGGTGAGAGGTTATTTGCAGGTGAGAAGTTATTTGCAGGAGCAGAAATGACTCAAAGATACCTGCATCACCAAAAGTTACCATAGATGATGGCTTCTGGAAGCCACAAACCTGGAACTCAATGAAGGCAGAGTTCAGCTGGTCTGAGCCTCTTTTAGGCAGGTCAGCTTAGCTCAGAGACTTCTAGGAAGCCCAGCTGTGTCTCAGCAGTTTTCATTGCTTATATAACTTGATGAAGGAGGGGCCTAGTGAATCTGATCAGTTTCAGGGACTTCCTGAAGCTTTTGATTGTTTACTCTCTGGGTTTAAGGAGCTTGCCTGCTGGGTGAGATGCTTCATCTCTTCAGAACAGACTTCTTGGTTTTGTTGTTTTCTAAGACAGGGTTTCTCTTTGTAGTGCTGGCTGTCCTGAAACTCACTCTGTAGACCAGGCTGACCTTGAACTCAGAAATCTGCCTGCCTCTGCCTCCTGAGTGCTAGGATTAAAGTTGTGCAGCACCACCTAAGAACAGCATGCATCTTAACAAGCTTCCTGCCAAGATGGAAGCTTTCATCTATATAGCATGTCAGTAGACCGAGTCTTTTCTTTCATGGAGAAAACCTTACATTTTGTATATTGCGTGGGGCAGGAGTATAGCTAGCTCAGAGTCAAGAGTACTTGCTAGAAGATGCTACTGATTTACTGTATTCCATTCCCAGCCTCCTGTCACGGATACATTTCTAGGGTCTTTGTCAGGTTTAGGCTGTTCATCGTCTCTGAGAAGATGGTGCCTTGAGGCCCTGCATGAATGTTGCTGGTGGAAACCTGTTTTCCCTCTCCAGTTCCCTCTGCTCCCCTTCCCCTGGTGCTCTGGGTTCAGAGCTGAAGAGAAGCTGGGTAGCTTTTTCTTCTCTGGGCTGTAAAGCAGGGTAGAACTTTAGGAAGACCTCATTACCGTGCTAGATGAACCTAACAGCTCTTGTACATAGCCTCTGATCCTTAACAATCTAACAGCTGGGAGAGGCCTCATGTCATGTATGGACAGCTGCTGGACTGGCTTCGATACTTGGTAGCCTGGCAGCCTGTCATCATTGGCCTGGTACAAGGCATCAGCTATATCCTGGGCCTGGAATAATAAGGAACCACATCATTGGAGAACACAGCCCACCCGCCATGGACTTCAGGGCACTGCTGCCCACAAAGACTTGGGTGGGAAAAACTCAAAGGCATTTGGGCCACTCAGGACCTCCCCAGCTGTGTCTGGGTTGGGACGGGGAGAATGATGGAGAACTAGCCAGTGGGGCTGTCAGCAGTGGGGGCTTTTTAAAAGAAAATTATTTTGATGAATATATTTAATTTTTTTTTTTTTTATTGTGGAGCATAGGAATTGTCCCCCAACCCTAGGCCTTATCCTGCTTGGACAGGGTAGGGTAAAACTGTTGGTTGGGAGGAGTCCTATCACCTCTGGCTGAGAGCAATGGTGGGTTTTCTGGTGGTTGAGTGCCTCAGCCTACCCTGTTTCACCTTTCCTTCCCTCTGCAAGGCTCAAGCCTGGTTCGCACTCAGTATGGAAGAGCTCAGACTGGTGCCACAGATCAACACTGAGCAATGAAGGGTCTCTTTATCTGTCTGGACCATAAGATGGCTGTTGTACATGACTCTCTTCCCCGTTTGCCTGGAAACTAAAGACTGAGTATGGCAAAATCAATGACTTTTCCAACTAGGGAAAACCTGTGACCTCAAAATTCACTGACATGTTTTGGGACAACTGGAAGAATGAGTAGCATGGATAACCTGCCGCTGAGCAGGGTTGTAGCCAGGCAGGGAATAGAAGGCATCTATATGGTGTTGGGCTATGGAAGCCACTTTGGCAGCATAAATGTCGCAGCTTCTTGTGCAAATAGACCCTTCAGCCTGGAAGTGGTAACATGTGCCAAAGGCTGCGCTGCACATCACTTCTTTACCAAAAGCCTAAGAGTGTAATTGTGTGTGTGTGCACATAGCAGACTAATGAACATCAGTTTCTGTCAGTCAGCAATGTGCCCTTGAAGCTAAGAAGGGATCCCTAGGGAATATCCCTATGTAAGCTTGGTCATTTGTGGGCTCTTCCTGGGCCTGACAATTGGACTGGTGGGTGGATAGGAAGAGTAAGGCCTGAGTGGGTACAGGGTCTGAAAACGGGGCTTCTAAGCAAGCCTAAAGCCTAGCCTTATTCCTGGGCACTTGGAGAAAGTGGGAGGGCATTGCGGGTCTGCAGCACTGGGTTTCTAGGGAAATTTGGCCTGGCTTCTTTGAGGGCAACAAGAACCAAACAGGGTCTTGTCATCATCTTTGAATAAAGCTCCATGAGCTAGGCTGGAAAGCTGAACATCCATCTGCTATTCTTTTGGCCACCTCTTTCCTGTGACCCCTGGGGTGTCTTGCCTCTTATACCCCAACTGAGAGCTGGGACCTAGAGTCACTGGTACTGCCCCCCTCCCCCGTGTGTGGTTCCCACCCTATGGCATTGGGGGGGCCCAAGGCCTCACTGGGTCCCCTATCAGACCAAGGTGGCACTCCATTCTCGCTGCCTGAGACTAGTACCCTATTACCCCTACTACTCAGCCTGTTCTTAGTCAGCTGTGGCTTCCCATCTCCCACCCCCCTCAGGGGATGGGAGCTGAGCAAAGGGTCACTCTTCCTTTGCCCTCCCTTCTCCCTAAAGCCACCTCTGGTCTTGGTTGTTCTAAGGTCAAGGCCTAGTTCCTCTTCCTGCACCTCCACCCATGTCCCGTTAAGGATTGAGAATCACCCCGGGGGGGGGGGTGCAACCTCTGGGTCAACTCTTGGAGATCCTGGATTCTGAGGAAGTTTTTCCCTTCATTCAGCAGCCTAGGTGGTAGACAGTAGGTGTTGTTGCTCAGAGAAGAAATGTGAATGTGACACAAAGACATGGCTTTAGCCTCCTTCATCCAAATCACCTCTGAACCCTTATTCCTGGATCTTCCAGATCTGATTCATCTCCCTGCCTGTTGTCACCAGCTTTCCCTGCTGATCACAGAAACCTAACCCTAGGGTCACACATTGCCCTAGAGGCCCTGGCATGATACTCGAGAGCACAGCTTCAGATTCTATCTGATTCTAATTCTGTACCTGCCAAGTCCCGGCCCCTGAGCTACTGGAGCTGGTGTTGGGGAAGTGCCTTCTTGGCTATTTAGGGTCAGCTCTGAGCATGGCTGGGAGATTTGTACACAAGCCAGTCAGGGAAGTTGCTATTCCTGTGGTGAAAGTTTTGGGGCCAGGCAGCCACACTGAGCCTTGGAGCTCCCACAAGCTCTTCAGGGCTTAGAGCCAAGTAGGAGGACGAAGACTTAACCAGTGAGCCTACACAAGTAACTGTGCCTGTGCACGTGAAGGGTGGGTGTTAAGTGATACAGCTGATCTTGGGGCTGGGGAAGTGGGGAAACTGTGAGGCTAGGATGGTAATGGGCTGGTGTAGCATTGAGTGTAAAAAGGTCTTGACTCTAAAGCCAGCTGTGAAGGGTGGAAGGGGCATCACAGTCCTGACCTGTCTCACCCCTTAGGGGCCCTTAGTGGGGTGAGGTGGACAGATATCCCAGTCTGGGTTTGGAGAGGTGGCCTGGGTATTCTGTCTTCTGTGAGCATTGGGTCAAAGGGGTGGAGCAGCCTATTTGGGATTGGGATTCCTAGTCAGAGCAGAAGTGAAAGTGAAATCATGGTTGGGAGCTTTCCCAGAAGCTGACTCCATCCTGCCCTTCCCAGAACAAAGGCTGTCAACGGAGAGTGTTGCTTCCCAGGTAAGTTCCTGGCTCTTTGTGCCTTTTTCCTCCTCCCTAACGGGTAAGATTGGATTGGGGAACCATTATATAAATGCTGTTTGGAGCTGGTATGAGAGGAAATTGTTACTAGGTAACAAGAGCAGTGTCAATTGTCCAGCTCATAGCTCTAGGCCTGCCCTCTGAAGTACCAGAGACTCCAATGGATGTCAGTAGTACTGTCTGAGGGAAAAAACCCTGAGAAAATGTGGGACTGGCTGAACTTTACTCACCTTTTTCCAGAGGAAGTTACAGATATCAGACTTGCTTGCTCCTGACACAAGTCATCATGACCATGAGACACTGCTGGACAGCAGGTGGGACGTGGGGCTTTGTGGGGTCATCCTAATAGGACGGAGCAGTGTGGCTAACTTGACCATCACCCCAAGAGGTTGCATCCACCTCTACTATTGCTTTAAGTCTCACTCTAGCTGCTTTGGCTCTGGCTCCATTTCAAGGCTTCTTAGCACCACATTCAGCAGGGCTAAAGGGTGGGGGCTGCGGGGTCCCCACCTATTCTGATGCCTGGTGACAGCTCAGGAGCATCTGGGTAGAGATCTGTTCCAACCCAAGCAGCTTGTCTCTGACCAGAGTGGGTGCTAGGATGCTGAGCTTTACATCTGTATCTATCTGTTCCTCAGACCCCAATTCGTGGTGGGTCCTGCTTCTGTACGTCCATGTTGTTGTCATTTTGGCCAGAGCTACATCTGCACCTCAGACAACTGCCAGTGTCTTTACTGGGAACTCCAAGGACCCATGCTCTTCTGGGCCTCTAGCAGTCCCAAATAAGCACTACTCAGCACTGGATGTGATCTGGCCAGAGGAAGAAGTGCCACTGAGTAAGAAGCAATACGGGAGCCAAGAGGTTGTAGTTGTCAGAGGCAGGCTGTGAACAGAGTTCAGGGGTTGGGTTGACATGGGAGTGTGCCTCCCACCTGCCAAGAAGTACCAGCCAGGCCAGCTTGGCTGTGTTTACTTCACCATTCTACTGCCCAGCTCCCAAGGTGATTTCTTTAGTATTAGAGACCCTCACAGTGCCTTGGTGGCAAGGTATTCCAGGGCATCATAGCTCCTCTGTCCAGAGCCTGCCTGCCTTCTGGCCATCAGCCTACTAGCATGACTATTGGACCTGGCATAGAGTCTTAGATACTGGACCTGTTTTAGAAAAGGTGTTCACTAGGAAGGAGGCACAGAAGTGGAAAAATTACATTCTTCCGGCTTAGGGAGACTGATGCCTGTATTTCCCCCTTTAATATTTTCCTATGTAGGTGGGGCGCAGGTATTGTAATGACTGAGGGGAGCTGGCAGGGTAGGGACCTCTGTTTCATAGAATAACTAACAGCCGTATCTGCTCCTAGATGGAACGCTGACCTTATCCTGTACTGCCTGCAGCCGCTTCCCCTACTTTAGCATCCTCTACTGGCTGGGCAATGGTTCCTTCATTGAGCACCTGCCAGGCCGGCTGAGGGAGGGTCACACAAGGTAAGGGTCATAGCAGTCAGCGCAGCAAAAGGGAGACCTCCCCTGCAACACTCTCATGATTTTCTTTTATTCCTGCAGTCGGGAACACAGGAATACAAGCACCTGGCTACAGAGAGCCCTGGTGCTGGAGGAACTGAGCCCCACCCTTCGAAGCACCAACTTCTCCTGTTTGTTTGTGGACCCTGAACAGGTGGCCCGGTATCACGTCGTTCTGGCCCAGCTCTGGGTATGGAACCTGAAGGAAGGAACTGGGGGGGGGATGTAGGGGTAGGAAAAAAAGGATGGGCTTTGCCAGAACAGCTTTTAAGTGAATAACTATTCCCTGAGGTCAGCCAGAGATGGAAGTAATTAACTTGGGACTTCAGTGATGGAGGAGGGCCAAGAACAACTCCTTAGCTCTGATTGTGTGTTTGTTTACTTCCCCAGGATGGGTTGAAGACAGTTCCATCTCCTTCTCAAGAAATCTTCTCCAGCCACAGCCCAAGACCCACATCAGCAGGACCAGGGGTTACCATGAATCCAGCCATAGCATGGCCTTGATGGGAGCCTGGTTCTCATCTACCTGGAGGGTGAAGTCTCAGCCATCGGCTTTGCTTTCCCCTGTACAGCTCAATCTCAAACTCAAGCTTCATTTCTATCTAGAATATTACAGTAATTAAATTGGGCCTTTAGAACTCCTCCTGCTTGTCCTTCTGTCCATGCATCCCCTTAACTTTTCTAATGTCTTCTTCACCCCACTGGTGTTCTGGAACCTTTCAGACCGGATGGTACCTTAGCCAAGCAATAGTTCTGCCTAGAATTCAACATGAATTTCCAGAGGCCTCCCAGGTCTCTCACATTCTACACCAATCCAACAGGTGAACCCTGGTTGAGATGACACTTTGGCAACATCTACTCTCAGATATGGCATTGACTTCATTAGTTATGAGTGGTTTTGTTTGTTTTTCTTATTTGCCCCAATGTACTGTCCCTAAGGGATGGGAAAATGATTGCTTCAGATCACAGTTCTATCTATAATGAGTCATCATAAAGCGGCAACATGTCAGCCTCTAATGTCTTTTAGGTCCCAGTACTGTTCACAGGAACATTGCCTGTTTCAGGAAGGAGCAGGGGGCACTGCCTCCCATGACAGGTAGAATTCAAGGATAATATGAATCCTTGAAATAGGAACAGTGGCCAGAAATGGAATGTGGAAAGATCCTAGAAAATGTTCCCGGAAGAAGAAAGATAAGAGTTGAGTTGTAGTCTGAAGACTTAACAGGACCAAACACAGGTTCCAAATTTCCTTCCTTCGTACCATCACAAAGAGCTCAATCAGCACTCAAGGGAGAAAAATAGACTTTATTTACAAGTAATAACATTTAGAAAAGATCCATCCCTGGCCCTTAGAAACCTTCCCATAGTTCCATATCCCACCCCAGTGCAAGTCTGAGGGAGGTGAAGTATGAGCTGCCATTAAAGGCTGCCCCTTATCCCACTCCTGAAACGAGAACCCATCTGTCCTGGAAAAAGAACAAACATCTTCCAGGCAGCTGTGTCCTTGTGCAGATGGGAGGAAGTAAGAGCTGAGCTCCTACCAGGTCATGCCCAGTCTTGGGCTTCAAGAGCAAAGGCCTCTGTTAGGCCCAGCCACCAGGAACAAAAGGAAGCAGAACCTGCTTCTCCAATGGTCCCTCTTCTAGGTCCAGAGACTAAGGAAGACTACTTGGGCTCAAGAATCCAGCCTCAAATCTAGTTATGATGGAGAAGTAGACTTTTCTCCAAAAAGGGGTGGGGGGGAATTAGGAGGCAAGATAGGGAGGAGACCCCACACTGTCCAAGCTCCAAGCCTCCTGGGCCAGCTCTGAAAAAAGATGCCTAAAAGGCACCAGTGAAGGTCCAGGTACCAGACAAGAGTGCAGGCAAACATCACTGTCTCGGGGGGGGGGGGGGGGCTGGCCACCATTGGCCTGGGAGCTCAGAGAAGGCACTGAGAAGGACAGTAGAAGGAAAAGGACAAGGTCAGTGCTGAGGACACAGGTAGGGCCACACACACGCACTGGTGTTGACTCTCTTTAATGCTTTGCCTGAAAAAGAAAGTCAGTCATTTGACCAGATTAATTCTTTTGTTGCCAACCTCTATTAGCTAGCTCAGAAACCCCTAGCTAGAACCCCTCCCTTTGTGTCCCACAAACACCTATCTTTAAGTTACCAATCATGCCTAAGAAATATGAGGTCCTCAATTACGAATGGCTATCCAGAACAAAGGATGCACCCCAGCCCTCTTCACTGGTCTAGCTTGGCCCTGCCTTGGATGCTGTCCTAGAGAATAGTCTAGGGGGTGGTCTTCCTTTTACTGAATTACCTTGCCCTTGGCCCGAGGGGTAGCAGTGGCAGCGGCAGCTGTGGTGGTGGCAATGCGTGGAGAACGGCGGGTACCACTGTGAGTATTGGGTGAGACCTTTGCTGGGGTCTTCTTTGAAACTCCTCGCCTTAGAAGACTATTTCCCAGCTTCTTAGGTGTGTTAAGGATGCTGAAGGCCATTGACTGTCGCCGGTCCGCCTGTAGGGGAAGGTCTGTCAACATGCTACTTAGGGGCTCTGCCAGCAAGGCTTCACTGGGCCTTCCTTCCTCCCCTTCAGTCCCAGCCTAACCTGTTTCAGAACAACTGGAGCTGCTTTCTTCTGGGCTACAGCAGTGCTGCTCTGCTTCCGTCCTTCATGCCGGTCCCTGGGAGTCATGGGGCGTGGAAAGCAGCTGGTAGCCTTCTTGGACTGTGAGGCAGAGGACAATTGCAATATGGCATGCATTCCCCATCTCTTGACAGAGGCCCTTTCCAACAGACCCATGGAAAGAAAGAGTTCCCTCTAACTCACTACTTAAGACATGGGAGGCTAGTTCACACCTAGATACAGTGTTAAAGAGAACAAAACACAGATGTGAACGTCACCTACCTCAGGAGTGCCAGGACCCTGGTGGGTCTCCGAGGAGACCCGTTTGCGCTGCTGCCTGGTAGTGATGCCCGCACCCTCAGCGATTTGGGTTGGCTGCATGCTGGCTCGGCGTAAAGTTTCCTGGGGGTCTCCGGTTTTCATCTCCTCATCAGTGATGGTTGCCAGATTCAGGGAAGGCTATGTGGAACAAGAGGAAGCAATCAGTGGGCCCTAGCTGTACAGAACAGGAACTAGGGCTGTCACATGATACCTAAGAGCTGGATCCTGAAAATAACCTTCCTTCCTGTTATCTACCTATACCTTGAGATAGCTAGTAATCTCAAATATGACTTCACTCCTTGAGTGACACCTGCCAACTATTCCATGCGGAAGCATGAGAGTAACCTTTTCAGTAGGCCAAAGACCCAGCACATATACTCAGGTTAGCCATTTCAGTCAGTGTGAGAGGCCTTGAAGTGACCTCATATCTCACCCTGGACTCAAGAGGATAGCAGGTCTTCAAGTGTGGAGGACACACTCGGTTGCGCTGCTGCAACTCAGCAATGCGGTTCCAATCGTCCAGCTGCTCAGGCTCATCCTGGCAAGTACCCATATAGAAGCTGTTCCTTCCTATAGAGGACAGAAGTTAGGGCAAGCATGGCTGTAGTCCTCCTACCTTCTTGAGGGATTTCAAGATGAACACAGTCCTGTTCTGTGTTGATGCAGAACATTTTTAAAGTGGCATACCCATCCAAATTACTTGTCTCATGACATCAGAAGAGTTCATACACAAAGGTAGTAGGATCTTATACTAACAAGGCTTGGTGCCCCACACCAAGAGAAACTGAGGGTCCCTAGAGCCTAAAGGGAAACTTCCAAGAAATTTCTGGGCAGCCTAACTTCCCCTAAGCCCACTCTCAGAAAGTAGCTTGAAGGACTCCCATAACTATCACTCTGGGAATCTGAAGCAATTGGTGAGCATCCCTGGTCCAGATGGTCCTTTGCAGTCTTAGAATAGGGAAGGTCCTGAGATGGCAGGAACAAGTGATGGGCAACAGTAATGGTACACGAAGGCAGCAAAGAGGCCTGCCCCCTATGCAAAGATCCACTTCCAGTCTAGTTTGGGACTGTGGTAAATTCTGAAGTCTCTCACCTTGGGGGGCACCACTGGACATCCTGGCCTGGGAGCGACGAGCAGAGCTTCGAGTGGTAGGCCGGTAGCCAGGCAGGCTAAGTAGAGCGGAGTTGCCATCATCTGGAGAGCCCAAGCGGGCCAGAGACTGGGTAGAGGAGGTGGCTCTCAAATTGGCTTGGGAAGCAGGGGCAGACTGCGTGCTATAGAAGGATGAGTTGGCGCTGTCTGGTTCTTCCACATCTAATTTCTGGAAGAATGAATCATTGCAGTAACACTATAAAGCACCACCTTCCTCTGCCCCAAAGCTCTCATGTATGATTTTACATGTAATGCTTCCACCCTGTTTTAAAAGGTGTATACACAGGCCACACAGTATGGAAGGTCTTGCAAGACGCTGAGGTTAGCAGGATGGTGGTGGCACATGCCTTTAAACCTAGCGCTTGGGAGGTAAAGGCAGGCAGATCTCTGAATTCAAAGCCAGCCTGGTCTACAGAGCAAACTCTAGGACAGGCTCCATAGCTACTGAGAAACCCTATCTCAAAAAAAAAACAAACAAACAAACAAACAAAAAAATGTTATCAAGACTCTTCTACCCACAATGCTTTGAAGGCAGTATTATAAGCCTATTTCAAAGTTAAGAAGGTGAGTAACCCCTAGTCACACAGCTAGGAAGGCTAAGAGCCAGACCCCTATTCCCTGAGCTAACCAGTTGGTCTCAGCCCATAACTTCTGCTGTCCTGAACCCAATCTTCCTGGGGTCTGAACATCTACATTCTCCCCCAGTTCTCAATAGTAGAAAGCATAAAGCCACATCAATCTACTTTCCAGCCCCTTCTAGACCAAAAACAAAAAGTGCCTAGAGGACCAGGCCAGGCTACATTCTCAATGCATGGGGGAGCTAAAGGCTCAGGATTAGCTGCTATTTCCTAAATTCTGCTCTGTCTTCCTCGCCCTTCTCTAGAAGAGAGATTCTCTACCTCACAGGTTTGTTGGTCATCCCGGTGTGTTCCTGACTGATGCACCCCTGGATAGGAACTGATGTTAACATCTTGCAGCCCCATGCCCAGTAGCCTAACCTTGGTCATGGTAATATTGATGATTTGTGTGGTACGCCGGCGAGCAGAGCGAGTCTTACGGCCAGAGTCAGGGAAGACATCCCCCAAGGAGTCCAGGCTGCTCTCCAAGGGGGCCTGACCCCGAGCAGGAATGGGGGTGAAATAGAGACTTTCCAGGGATTCTACTTTGTGTGGCAGGCGCTGGGAGATGGGTGAAGCTGGCTCTCCAGGGACACTGGTGCCATCTGGCTGGGTACAAGGCAGCTTGCTGTATGTAGAAAAAGCAGTCTGCTGAGATGCAGTTCCTAGGCTACAAAGCATTACGTCTATTCCCTTATCCCAAAGTGACTGTTTCTTACACTTAACTACAGGTAAATTTGGTAAAGCACACTGATATTTCAGAGACACTAAAAAGAGGCCTTGGTTGGGGCCTTCTTAGTCCACTCTTGGCTGCTTTAGCCTAAGCCAGGCAGCCATAAGCCCAGACCTCCCCAAGATGCCACAATTAACACTGCCCATTCTAAACCTCTCTTCCTGTCCTTCCTAGTTTAGTAAACAGGGACACCTTCACAGGTCCTGGGCCATGAATGTGGGTGTAATTAGAAGTCTTCTACCACACTCAATCACAGTCAACAGTGTAAGAAGCCGAACACCATGTACACTCCCTTCCCTGGTCAACCTGAGTTCATCTCACCAAGACTTGGACTGGGAGATGTAGAGTGGTGACAAGCAAGGACAAGTCATGCTGCCAGGTTCAAACCTAGCTCCATCACTAGAAGCTTAGGCCAGTGACTGCCCCTCTAAACCCCAGTTCTATCTGTTTAAGGAGACAGAACAAGTATAGCCTGCCTAAAGATGATTGCAGGCGGGAAATAAAGATGTAACTGTTCTAAGTACTCCCATAATTAGTACAGTAACTGTACTTCGAACTTTGACTTCCATACTATCAGGAAAGTCTAAGACACAAACTCAACCTTGCAGTCCTCAAATCCACTTAGGCTCTGGGCTCTCAGGTCTGCTTGGCCTCATTACAGGCTGCTCCTCCACCCCTGCACACACCTAGGGAATCTACCACAGCTCATAAAGATAGCTTTCTCCAAGGCTTTCCTAACTGGTGCACTTCTTTTTCACTTCTCCTGTGCGTGAAGCAGCCATCTGTTGTCATACCAGAGCCAGGACTAGAACAGCATGCATTCAGTAAACAGGCACAGGGTAGAGAGGCAGGCATGTCTCCTGACCTAGCAACACTGCATGGGGTTCCCTCCTCCAAGCTCAGATCCAGGCTGTCAATACTTAAGTCCAGCTGGGGTTTCTGAGGCTCACGGCTCTTTAAGGCATCAGTTGCCACCTGGAATTTGCCCAAGTCTCGAAGCTGCTGATCTGCATGGGCAACCTGGGGAGGAAAATAAAGAGAAGCAAAGAGTAGGGTTGGCCTTGGAGAGGAGGGTCTGGATTCCAACAGTACAGGGTCAGATGCCTCTGTTTAAAGTAGATGCCTACCTGTGCCTCCAGGCTCCGCACCTGGGCACTAAGGTGGCGACAGGCCTGTTCAGCCTCCTTAGTCTTTAGCCCTGCCTGCTGCAGCTCACGTCCTAGACGTTCAGCTTCAGCCCGAAGCTCCTTGTTCTCCTTCTGCAGCTGCTCCAAGTCTCGAAGTTGATCCTGCAGCTCTTGGTTCTGCTGCTTCTTGGCATCATAATGGGTCTTGGCTTTCTCCATCTGTGTGGACAGACAGCGTGGGTAGGTAGGTGTGACAGAGTCTAGTGGTCAGGAGGAAGGACATACTAGGCCAATTCGTGGAGGCTCCTCACCTGTAGCTTGTAATGCTCAGCTGCCTGCTCCTTCTGGCTTAGCTGGGCCTGTAGCTCATTCAGCTGGGCCTGGAGGCGCTGGACCTCCTGCTGGCTCTCACCTCCCTGAGCCTGAAAAGCCTAAGAAGTCAATCAAAAAAGGCAGCTCTGGTTACTCCACCCAAATCCACTCAGTCTCCACAGCTACTTCAGAGTCCAGAGTCCTTCCAATATATTCTCTCAGAACACTTAGGATCCCTCAGCCCAACACACACACTCCCCACAACCACAACCTACAGAATAATTACACTCTCCTTCCTGTGGACACTAGTGCTCTAATGCTCCTCCCAGTTCTGCCTGCCACCTATGAGGCCAGGCACCAGGCGTCTTGTCTCACCCCCTGTACATGTACATTTTCTCCCAAAGGGAAGATCCCAAGGGATCTTCAAAGAACATCCTGGTATTGAGCACAGTGGGAGACAACTGCATGTGCCGCTCAATGACAGGACCTCACTTCTTCAAACCACTCTGAGAACTTTTATCTTTGTTTTAGAGAGAAGAGTTCAGAGATTTAGGCAAACTGACCAAGGTCACACTGAGTATAACACAGTAAGATCTGAACTTGGTCCATCTAAGTCCAAAGCCTATGGTGCCAGCACTGCCTCATTTGGGGACCACAACTCCAAGAGCAGGCTGGCAGCTGATTCTGTTCCCTGCAACATCAGCTTCATTTGCTGCAGGTACTGGGGTAGGCATATTCCCACCAATACCTCTCTTACATCTGGTAGCTCATAACAACCCCTTAAAAGGAACATGGTAAACCTGCTTATTGTTCATGACAGAACATGAACACGAGAAGCTAAGCAGGAAAAATGAAACCCAGAGCTCTTCCACCTGTGACCCACCATATGCTACACAAGTCCCAGTGGCAGTGGTGCCCAATCCTTTGCCCTTATAACTAAGGGATGGGAAGCTTAAAGCTACGAAAAGGAAACATTGGAACAAAGAAGGTAACATAATTAAAAGTACTAAAGTATTAATTTCACTGGTCATTATGGCAAACACTTAAGAATCCCAGTACTATGGGCTGCACAATAAGACACTGTCTTCCCCAAATTCCAAAAAAAAAAAAAAAAAAAATTTTAAAAGAAAGAAAAAAGGAAATGCATTGTAAGAATGAATACTGTTCACTCAGGAGGCAGAGGCAGGTGGATCTCTGAGAATTTGAGGCCAGCCTGGTCTACAGAGTGAGTTTCAAGACAGCCAAGATTACACAGAGAAACCCTATCTTGAGAAACAAAACAAAAAACAGAATGAGTATTGTTGACACATTCAGTCCTTGAACCCAAACTACTAACTACTAAGAATGGTGCTGTTCCACAGAACTTTCTGAAATGGTGGAATTTGTTCTATTCTATTTTGTAGTTATTAGCCACACACTTAATATTTAACTGGCTAAAGTAAGGGAAAGGCCAAAAAGAAAAAGAAAAAAAAAAAATTCCTCTTTGAGGTGCTGGAAACTGAATGCTAGGGCTTTATGTACACCAAGTAGGTATTCCACCACTGAGATAGATATATGCCTTGTTTCGTTTTTTAAAGCAAGGCTTTACCAGGTAACCCAAAGATGAATTTTTTTTTTTTTTTCTCTTAATCTAATTGAAAAGCACAGGTGTTCATAATGGAGAGATAAGACCTTTCTGTGAGAGTTCCCAGAAAGCAAAGGTAAGTTTTCTGAGATCAGGATGGCTTCCTGGGCTCCCAGGGTGCTTCTGCATTGGCCCCATATTACCATAGCCCAAGAGTTTAGAAAAGATGCTCCTCCACCCCCTTGTTCTGAGGCCTGTCATGCATCTGTCCCACCTTGAGCTTCTGTTGCTGCACCTTGCTGGCTTGATCATAATCTGTCAACTTCTTACTCAGTTCTTCCACCTGAGGAGTAGGAGAGAGAGAACAGACAAGAAAACTGAATTCCCTGGGTGTAAAGGCCTATCTTAGTATTCCACATCTGCAATCAACTAGAACCCAAGCACAACTGGTTACAACTATAAGGGGTTTTCGAGATCTATCATCTAAGGTGGGAAAACCCACCCTAAACCTGGACCACACCTTCTCGTGGCAGCCCACATAAAAAGCCACATAAGGAAGCTTTTGCACTTTGCTTGCTTGCACTCATTCTGGCTCCAGATATGCATAACTAGTCTAATGGTTTCTAGGTGTGCCCTGGAAGAATTAAAACCAAAATCCAAGTCTCAGGCACAGAAGGTGTTACAGTTAAATTAAGAGCATTTATTAGTCAAAGAATGGGATCCTGTAATATGGGATGGAGATGTATGGAATGACCATACTGAGGCTAAGGAGTTTGAACACTCAGATTCTGAAGTGTTTGTCTCACCTGAAGAAGACCCTAAACCTCCTGCAATATTATACTCTCTGCCTTTGCCTATGGGATTTAATTATTCACTGTATGACAAATCAGCAGTGACTTGCCAGGCAAGACAATATAAGGCTAAGCAGGCTCCTACGGGCAATAGAATGTGTAGCACATGAGGAGGTGGTGCACGATACCACTAAAAAACAAATGACTGACTGCTAATTCTTTCAAATATGTCTGGGAAATTTGCGTGGGGATAGATTTTAAGGGTGTAGGATAATGATGGAAGGAACATAAAACTAAATCAAGCTGAGTTTATTGATATGGGCCCATGGAGTGTAGATTCTGGTTTAATATGAAAACTTGAAGTTTAATAAAGGGGGGGGGTCAAAAGATGGCCTACTTAAATGGAACTTGAGATGCCTGATCTCCCTTGGATTAGTGATGCTCAGGAAAACTGCAATGCTTGAGTGGGTACACTGTAAACCTAGCCCTCAATAGGGAGGCCCAGAAGACATGCCCTTCACTAATCCTGGGATGGAAAATAGTGAGGGAGCACCAGCACATTCGAAGAGATTTGTCCTCTCTCTTTTACTTGTGCTAGACCTTAGAGTTGGAGATCCTCCTGCTGAGTTGGATGAATTAACTGCCATGGGTTTAATTAGACCCAGGATTAGGAAGAGCCAGGCGATAGCACTGAATTGACAAAGGCAAGGAGATCATAGTTGTCCTAAAAGGCAGCACAGGCAAAATTATTTTTATGGTGGTATGTCTTGTATGAAACTTTGGTATTGGCTATTCAGTCATGGTGTTTCCAGGCATGACATAGATAAAGAACCTACATTTTTTGTTTGGTCTGCATAAGCAGAAAAATCTCCAAAGAAAGGCCAAACTGGGTTGTAGCAAGATTCTTGGCATGTGAACCATTACTTGAGCCTGTTTGCAGACACAGAACCTCTTGAATGAAGGGATAGTTAGATCCTCTGGAGGAAGAACCTTGACAAAATATATGAATGTTTTACTATTAGCCTTTCTCCAGTCCTTCCCCAGGGGAACCTATTGCCTTTTACAATGGTAACTATACACTGGGGGAAAGGAAACCAATTAGAGTTCCTGAGTTTTATTGGTTACTGGTACTGAATTAATGCTGATTCCAGGAGATTCCAAGAAACATTGTGGCCCTCCAGTTAAAGTAGTGGTTTATGGCAGTCAGGTGGTTAATGGAGTTTGGACTCAAGTACGTCTCATAGTGGGTCCAGTGTATCCCTGAACTCATTCTGTGGTTGTTTTTCCAGCTCCAGAATGTATAATTGGGATAAATATGCTTAAGAAGTGATTCCCTAACCTGTAGAGTGAGGTTATTATGGCTGGGAAGGTCAAATGGAAGCCATTAGAGCTGCCTCTACCAGGGAAAATAGTGAACCAAAAACAGTTTCACTTCCCTGGAGGGACTGCAGAAATTAGTGGCCCCATCAAGGACTTAACAATGCTGGGATGATGGGCCCCACCACATCTCCCTTTAACTCTCCTAATGTGGTGAGTGCAGAAAACAGGGATCATGGAGAATGCCTGTCCATTAAGGACCACAAGAAGCAATTTTCTGTCAGTTGGCAAGGCCAGCAGTACACCTTATAGTTATGCCTTAAGGATATATTATCTCTCCAGTCCTGCGTCATAACTTAGTTAGATAGAAGGCATCTTGACCATCTGTCTCCTCTATAAACATCATGGTCCACTCTTCTGAAATTATGCTAATTAGACACATAGGGGCGTCAGAGGATGGGAAATAAATCCAACCAAATTTCAAGTGCCTTCTACAAATGTTTTGAGTCCAGTGGTGGGGCATAAAGATTTTCCTTCTAGGGTGTAGGATAAGTTATTGCACCCAGCACCTTCCACCATCAAGACAGAAACAAAAATATTTAATGAGTCTATCTGAATTCTGGAGACATCACATTCCTCACTTATGTGTGTTACTTCTGATCAAATACCAGGTGACTAGGAAAGGTGCTAGCTTTGAGAGGGGCCTGGAACATGAGAAAGCTCTTCAACAGGTCAAGGCTGCTGTGCAGGCTGCTTTATCACTTGGACCATATGAGCCAGCAGAATCAATAGTACTCAAAGTTCCAGCAGCTGTTTGAATACATAGGTGCATCACTGAGGATTTGGATTCACCTTTAGGTTTTTGAGCACGGTTCTACCATTATCTGCAAACAAGCATTCTCCCTTTTGAGAGACAGCTCTTGGCCTGCTATTGGGCCCTAGTGGAAACTGAACATCAGACAATGAGTCACCAAGTTACCATGCAACTTGAGTTGCCCATCGTGAGTTGGGTTATTATTATCTCAACCACCAAGTCATAAAGTGGGATGTGCACAGCAGCAACCCATTATCAAATGGAAGTGGTATACATGTGATCGGACCTAAACAGGTCCCAAAAGCACAAGCAAGATAGATAAAGAATTTGCCCGATGCCTATGGTTTTTACTCCCATTACACTGCCTTCTGCTCCTATAGTGTGCACCTATAGCATCATGAAGTGTGTCCTATGATCAGCTGACTAGGAGGAAAAGACTGGGGCCTGCACATTTTCGAGGCAGCACCTAGAGATGGATCTGAAACACTACAACTCTTTTCTCGGACAACCCTGAAAGACAGCGGGTAAAAGGAAATGTTCACAATGGCAGAACTTGGGTAGTAGATATGGTCATACATTTTGTTTAGAAGGAAAAGGTCAAATATGCAATTGTTCAGATTCATGGACTGTAGCCAATTAATTGGCTGGATGGTCAGGGACTTGGAAAGAGCAAGAGAAAAACTACTGAGAAAGACATCTGGGGAAGAAATATGTGGATAGATCTCTCCAAATGGGCAAAGGACATGAAGATACTTGTGTCCTATGTAAATGCTAATCAAAGGGTAGCTTCAGCTGAGGAAGAGTTCACTGATCAAGTAGATAGGATGACCCACTCTATGGGCAGTCAGCCTCTTTCCCCCAGCCACCCCTGTCATTGCTTGATGGGTCCATGAACAAAGTGGCCACAGTGCAGAGATGGGAGGTTACACTTGGTCTCAACAACACAGACTTCCATCTGTTGTAGATTTGCCTTTCCTACACATAATGCTTCTGTCAAAACTACCATCACAGACTTACAGAAAGCCTTATCCTCTATCACAGTATTGCTTCTAACCAAGAAACTTCACTTTGCCGCCAGAGAAAAAGTGTGACAGTGGGTGTTTCATGGAATCCACTGGTTTTATCATATTCCCCATCATCCTGAAACATCTAGCCTGATAGAATAATGGAATGGCCCTTTGAAGCCCCAGTTACAGTGCCTAGAGAGCTGGAGCAGGGCTCTGCAGAAGGTGGTATATGTTTTCAATCAACTCACACTATATGAAAACCAGCTAAGTCAGTGATTCTCAACCTTTCTCATAATGGAACCCTTCCATACAGTTCCTCATGTTGTGGGTACCTCCAACCCTAAAATTATTTTCATTACTACTTCATAACGATAATTTTGCTACTGTTATACGTTGTAATGTAAATATCTTATAAGCAAGCTATCCGAAATGTGACCCCTGTGCTGGGAAAGGGTAGTTCCACCCTGCCCCCCCCCCTTTCTAGGAGTCAGAACCTACAGTTGAGAAATGCTAAGGCCATGAGACCAGTTGCAGAAACAAGGATTATAACTTATAGGAGTGTTTCTTTCATAGCTTATTAAAAATATGTTTGTGTGCATCTAGGCTGGAGAGATGCCCAGTAGCTAAGAGACCACTCTTCCAAAGGACCCAGGTTCAATTCCCAGCAACCACATAGCAAAAACAAAAGTGTGTCTGTGTGTATATTAAAAAAACATATTTTAAACAGATGCCTTTTCTTTTCCTCAGTTTATCATGGGATGAAACATCAAATGAGCTAGTATCAGTGATTATATTTAAGTTGTGAAACACTAAAAGAATGTCCCTCAAGGGACATTGTCATCTATTCTAAAGCATGGTTGCAGTTGTACATGGGATAATTATAGTCTATGAGGCACAATTATAACATTTTTTTCATTTAGAAATTAAGTAGGGCATACGGTGATATGCTCATGGATCAAGCTGACAAGAAGTGGACTTGTATGTAATGGGTAATATTGGTGTCCAACCTGTCCACATCTGCAATTAAATAAAACCCAAGCAGCTATGAAGGGTTTTCCTTGATTGAAGCATCAGCGGTGGGAAGACCTACCCCAAATCTGGGTCACACCTTCTGGTAGGAGCCCACATAAAAGAACAAAGGATGAAGCTGTTGCTCTTTGCCTGCTTGCCCCTCAATCTTGCTGGCAAGTTTAGCTATCCTGCTGCTGTTGGTAACAGACCTACTTTAAAAAAAAAATTTTTTTTTTATTTGTGTTTTATATACATTGGTGTTCTGCCTGCATGTATATCAGTTGAGGGTGTCAGAATCCCAGGAACAGAAGTTATAAACAGTTGTGAGCTGCCACTTAGTTGCTGGGACTTGAACCTCTGTCCTCTGGAAAAGCAGTCAGTACTCCCAACCACTGAACCATCTCTCCATCCCCAGAACTTATTTCTTTGGGACTCCAATATGGTCCAACAACCAGCTGAAACATCCAGCCTCATGGACTAAACAACTGCCCATCCATCAGGAAACAACACTGTTGAACTAGCTAGACCACAGGCTGTAAGTCACTCTTTATCTCCTTTTAATACATACTTAGATTCATTTTATCAGTTATGTTCCTCTTACAGATCCTTGACTAAAAACACTGGAAGTCTAGACTAACCCAGACCACTATCCTCAAGTCCTTTCTTCCAACTTCTATATAGGTAACAGCCTGCTGCCCAAAGGTTGTCGGAGCCTGAGGTGGTCCCAAATAGATGTTGCCAGAGCCACCTACCCAAACTCATTCCATCTCTACCATCCATCCACCAAAATCAATGGCTGACTCTTCAGAGCCACTATCTCTCAACATCCCCATGGCATGCTATTTCCCAAGCCTAACCTAAATAGGTTGGGAGCAAGAACAGAGCACCTATGGGGTTGGAGAGAAGACTAAGAGTGAGAGTGTGTGTGTTTGCCCTGGTATTCTAACAAACACTGTCAAAGAACATTCTTTACATTCATTCCTCCCTCCTTCCCAAAAATTGCCAAAACAAAGCTCCCAGACTGCTTTCCAGTCTCCAAGGGCTGTTAGAAAGATGCTAGCAGCATGGTCACTGTGGTTAGCATTAGGAGAACAGAATGCTGGAAGACCAGGGGCAGCACACATACCCAAGCCCCTCCCCCAACTATCACAAGGAGGAAGAGCAAAGGCAGTAAGGAAACAGAGAGGGATCGTAACAGCCACAAGCACCCTTGCTTCCTCAGGGCATGATGGAAGCTTAGGCACGAACAGGCAGCAGAGGAAGAGGCAAAGGCTCCATTGCAAACTGCTTGTTTTCCATTTCCTTAGATGTCCACAGTGACTGGGAAGGGGAGTAGAGGGGGTGTCCCCACTAAGCATCAGCTCTGTAGCCTACAAACTAGGGAGGACACAGATGCCTGAGAGCGAGGAAAGAGGGCAGCCCACATGACCCACCAGGGGAAGACACCTTCTACTTCCTTCTCTCAATCTTAGTTTCCTGTTCCAGAAAACTCTATGTGAGTGAGGCTCTAGGATAAGGCATCAGAATTCTGGGAGAGTATTGTTATAATGTTTCCTATCCTCCAAGGGCTGCCTCTTTTATCACCTTCATACCTTGGATCTAAACAAGGCCATATAAATAATCTGTTCTTCCTCTTAGATTAGTATCCCCCTAACTCAAAACAGGAGTCTGGAGGTTTTGGAGTCTCAAGGATTGGCTTTGTCACCACTGCAGGTCTGCAAAAGATGAAGCTAACCCTGGTCTCTGACAGGTGAAAGAAAATGCCGAAGGGAAGAGGCCGACCTGGGATGGGTAGGACGAGGCCCAAGAGAGGGCCTGTAATACTGTACTCCTGGGCAGCCTGGGCCTGGATTCCATGGCTTGACCCTGCCCCTTTCACAAACAGTTCACAACAGGAGCTGGAGGAGCAAGCTGCAGCCGGGGTCATGCACCGAGACTGGTCACCGCTTAAGCAGCCAGCATTTATGGAGAACCCCAGGCATTACCTGCTTAGTTTGCTCTCTTTGAGATACCTCTAGTTGCTCCACCTGTGCATAGGGAGAAGCAATGGAGACAGTGAGAGGGGCCACTGCCACACTGACCTCAATGGTATGATACTTCTCCCAGAGACTATATGGAGGGGGAGACAGGGAGGGGAGGGAGGGGAGAGAGACAGAAGAAAAAGCCAGTTGGAGCCAGATAACAGGATATAGTATGCCTGTTTTCACAACACTTGGGTAGTGAAGGCAGGAAGATCAAGAGTTCAAGGTGATCTTTAACAGGGAATTCAAGGCTAGCCCGAGTTACATTAAGCCTTGTTTTAAAACACCAAACAAAAAGCCAGTTTTCCTGCTTCAACCTGACAGAGTTTGACTATGTAACTCAAGGTGGCCTCTAATTCACTATCCTCCTCACTTAGTCTCCCAAATGCTGAGATTACAGGCATGCACCACTACAGGCTATCATTCACATTCTCTTTAGGACAAACTTTAAAGTCTATTAGTCACTTTCTTTTTATGCTACTCAGTGTGAATGAAGGCAGGCAGGCTACTGCAGTACACAGACAGGTTAGAGAGTGAGGGGAGGGCTACAGACTGTAGAGGTCATAGGATGGACATCTTACCTGGGCGGTGAGTTTCTGCCTCTCTTCTTGGAACCTTTGCCTTTCCTCTAGGACCTTCTCCTTGGCACCTTCATACTTGGCAGTCATAACCTCCAGTTCCCGGGTAGTACTCTGTGCTTCTTGCCGCATTTCAGCCAGATGGGTCTCAGCATCAGTACGCACAGCTGCCAACTCCTGGACATACTTCTCCCGGGCTTGATCTAGCTCTACTTCCAGAAACTGCCGGCCAAGGTTGGCCCGCTCTCCCAGACCCCGGTTCTCCTCTGCCAACAGCCCATGAGCCTTCTTCAGCATGCTCAGCTGTTCTGCATAGCTGGCCTTCTCTGCCCGCAGCTGCTGGGCTGCTCGCTCCTGCTCAGCCACCTTCTGCCGCAAAGGCCCTAGCTCCCCAAGCTCCCGCTGTGCCCGCATTAGCTCTGCCCGAAGCCCACCAGCTGCCTGCTTGCTCTGCTCTATCTCTTCCCGGTGGCGCTTCTCTGCAGCTGCCTGCTCAGCCTGCAGCTGCTGACAAAGGTGCTTGGCAGGCAGCAGCTCGCTTACCAGGGCCTGTGTGCTGGTATGCTCCAGCTGCAGAGCAGAGAGTGCTTGCTCCTTTTGGAAGAACTTCTCCTGCCAGGCCTTCAATTCCTGGCCCAGTTCCTCAGCTCGCTCTGCCTGTGAGGCCAGCTCTTGCCGCAAGTTCTCCGAAATTACACGCTGTTTCTCTACCTCCTCCTGGAGGCTCTGTGCCTCCTCTCGTAGAGCTGAGCTGCGCTCTGCTGCCCTGGCATTAGTGCTGGCTGTTTCTACCTGAAGCAGACGCAGCCTCTCTTCCAGCTTCTGGCTTTTCTCTGATTCAGCTACAACCAGGCGCTTCAACTCCTTGCTCTCCCCTTCCTTCTCTAGGACTTGGCGGTTCAGGATGGATACCTCCTCTTCCAAGCTGCTGATAAGACTACTTTTTCTCTCAGCCTCCTGCTGGCCACGGGCCACCTGGGCCTTCCACTCTTCCTCAGCTTTGCTATGGTCCTGGGCTTTGGCACGGAGGGCTGTCAATTCTCTCTGAGCTAAAGCTGAGGCAGCTTGACTGTGCCCTAGTTCCTGAGCCTTGTCCTCTAACTGGCCCTGTAGGGTCTCTAGGGCTTTGTCCCGCTCAGCCCGGGAAGCACGCTCAGACTCCAGGCTGTGTGTCAGGTCTGTAACCTGTTGCTGCTGCTGCTGGCACTGCTGCTCCAGCTTGCTGACCTGTGCCCGAAGTGCCTCCAGTTCAGGGCCTGGCGCCTCTGTCTTTCTAACTGTCTCCAACGGGGCTTCTGGGCCAGAAGTGTCTTCTCCACCACTTTTCCCTACAAGGTGCTGCTCTTTTTCTCTCTCGACTAACTGTGTTTTCAGCTGTTCCAAAGTCTGCTGAAGCTCCTTCAGCTCTGTTCTTTGAGCTGCCTCTTGCCCACGAAGTTTGGCAAGCTCCTGGTCTTTGCCTTCCTTTTCCGTCATGGCATGGGCCAGTGCTTCTTGCAGGGCAGCAAACTCCACACGCTGCTCGTTGAGGGCGTTCTGAAGCCGCATCTCAAGCTCTGCCTTGGCTGCCTTCTCCTGAGCCAGGTCAGCTTGGACCTGGCTCCGCTCCTGGGTCAGCCGTGCTAGCTCCCTCTCCTGCTGCCCACGTTCCTCTTGCTGCTGGCCATGGCTCTCTAACAGTGCTACCCTTAGCCTCTCCAGTTCACTGCCCACTTGCTCAGCTTCTCGCTCCATAGCCTTTAGTGCTGCTTGTGTGCTGGAGAATGACTGTCGCTGCTCTTCTTCCAGCCAGTTGGGCTCTTTGTGCAGCTCAAGTGAGGTCATTTCCTGCTGCTCACCTGCCTTTAGCACCAAGGTCTTCAGGCAGGCTGCCACCTTGTTGGCAGAAGCCATCTTCCCCTGCAGAGTTGAGAGATCATCTGCCAGCCTCTGGGCCCTGACTTCTTTTTCCTGAACCTGCTGGAGGGCTTTGGCTAGGGTGGCATGAAGCTGGGCTAGCTGACTGTGCTGCTGGCCTTTCTGGCCCTCACTGTGGACCTCTACTGCCTCCTCCTGTGCCTCTTGGCCAGCCTTCTCACGGTCCCCCTTCAAAGCCATCAGCTGTTCCTGGAACATGGCACCATATCTTGCCTCCTCCTGCTGTCTAGCTTCAAACCGCTTCTGCCAGCTCTCAACCTCCCTGATGAGCTGCTCACTCTCACTCTTAGCTCTGTGCTGGGAGGCTGTAGCCTCTGCCAGCTCATGCTGCAATGCTTCAGTCTTAGCCTGATGAGTCTCTTCAAGCTGCTGTAACCTGGCCTCCAGCCCCTTTCTCCCAGCCTTCTCTTGTTCTAACGCCTTCTGTTCCTGCTCACGCTGCTCCATCAGGCTTTGGGACTCTGCCTTCATCTCAGTGACAAAGCGCTGCTGCTCTTCCAGGGCATCTGCAGTCCTGCGCTTCTCCTCTTCAAGGCTCTCTTTGGTAATCTTCAAAGTCTCCTCAAGGGCCTGGAGCTGCTTCTGGAGCTGGGCCTTCTCCTGGATCACTTCTTCTCTCTCAGCTACTTTTTGCTGCTCAGCCTTTAGCTGGGCCTCTAGCTCTGTCACATGAGCTTGGGCCTGACGCAGTTCCTGGTGGGCAGCTTCAATACAGGCATGGAGTTCTCCTATCTTCTGGCTCAACTCTGCCTTTTCCCGCTGGACCTGTGTGACTGAGGTCTGTACACTATCCCTAGCTTCATTAGCAGCCTCAAGTTGCTGCTGCAGACTCTCTAGCTTCGCAGCCTTCTCCTTCTCCAATGTTTCCAGCTGCTGGCGAGCAGTATCCCGTTCCCTTAGAGAGGCCTCTCGAGCCTCAGCAACAATGGCCAGTTGCTGAGCGTGATCCTGCCTGGCTGCCTCTTGCTCCTTGGCTGCCTCTTCCAATTGCTGCTCCTTCAGCTTCAGGCTGCTGCTCAGCTGCTCCACCTGCTGGCGGAGGCCCTGGGCAGCCTCTTCTTGTTCTTGCAAGGACTGTACCATCTGAGCCTGTTCCTTTTTGGCCTGTTCTTTCAAACTGGCAAGTTCTTGATCCTGTTGCTGCTGCAGGGTGGTATTGAGCGCCTTCAGAGAGGCCACCTGGGCAGAAAGCTGAGCCCCCTGAACCTGGGAGGCCTGCTCTAACTCCTCCTTGGCTTGGCTGAGGTTTGAGATGGAGCTCTGCAGGTCAGCAATCAAGCTGGCCAACTGCTGCTTTTCTTCTTCAAAGTGGCCCCGCTCAGCAAGCAGCTGGGCTTCCTGTTGGCCCCGTTGACACTCCAGTGTCTCTATGCGGGCTTGGAGCTGAGTATTGTCTGCTGCAAGTTTGGCTGCATCTTGCTTCAGGGTTTCCAGCTGTTGGGATAAAAAGACAAATGGGGATCAAGGGAACACTAAAACCTAACCCCATCAAATTGCCTGACTGCTTCTGTCTATTCCTACCTGCAAGGCGTCGCCCAGCACCTCGCCCTTCTCCTGGGCTGGGCTCTCCAACAGTTGAGCTGCTCGTTCCTCTAGCTGGGAAAGCTTTCCCTGAAGGATTTCATTCTTCTCTTCGAGATATTTCTTAGAATAAACAAGAGACCCATGTGAATTGAGAAGCAGAATAGTCACCTGATTACCACATGGGCCCTCACCTTGCTCTCATCAATAAAGTGTGAGACTCGATCATCTTGTTACCTAACTCTCCCTTTCCCTGGCTCAGGAGAAACCCTCTCAGAGACCATGGGTCTGAGATGGTAATGACGGCTCCCCAAATCTCAAGAGACTGAGACACAAGGACTAGGAGTCAAGAAAGACCAACCTGGGCTCGAAATATCATCAGCAAAAAAGAAACCACAGGTCTGGATTTCCTGAGAACCTGGTTTTCTATTCCCAATTCCATGGATGAATTAAGTAAAAAATGTGCAAAGCTTACTTTCAACCTCCTTGCCACATAGCCTTCCTCAGACAAACCCTGACACACACATACTACCCAAATGCTTAAAAAATGGCCTGGGCATCTACATCAGCCAAGCCTGATCTGACCTTGATCCACATCTACTTCCCCTCAATTGTGGGTACAAGGTATCATGACAGATATACCTCTGAATTTCTAATCTACCCACAAGTCTGGAAGGGAGCTATTACTGTCTCTTTCACAAGGGAAGCTCCTGTTTCCCAGAATCTAAGTGCTATGACCAAGAGCTACATAGTTAGCAAGTGGCAGAGCTGAGCTCTTAATGAAGGCAACAGTAATCCAGATTGAGCATGCCTAATCTAAAATTTGGAATCCAAAACAATCTTAAATCCAAAACTTTCTGAACTCCAACAAGATGCTAAAAAATAGTTCTGGATTTTGAACAAAGCATTGTGGCAGAAGCCTGTAACTCTGGCATACAGGAGACAAAAACTGGAGGAGAGTCCAAAGACAGCTTGGGTTACAGAGCTAGGCTGCTCTAAAAAATAATAACTTTTAGAGTGACTTAGATTTTGGATTAAGGGACATGCAATTTATATCTATGCAAATATTCCAAAATGGGAAAACCTATCTCTGGTACACTTATGATATCAAGCATTTCAGCAAAGAATACCCACCCTGAAATCACAACTAAGAGCTTACAAGTCACCCTTCAATCTCACAACAGTTAGTAGAGATTGATTACCTCTTCCAAGACCAACACTTTGCATATCAGAGTTCACAGGTACACTCAACCTACTATGCCCCGACAAAACTCATTACTCCAGGACCCAGGAGGGTGATAGAATATATGCATAAAGTTGTGGTCAGCTCCCCAGCCAAGAGTTACCTTATCCTGGAGGGCTGTGCTGAGCTCTTTTTCCAGATGAGCCTGCTTCTCTGCCCATTCCTGAGAAGCCTTGTTGTGCTCCTCTGTCAGGTCGTTGAATGCACCCTGCAGTTGTTGCAAGTGGCTGGCAAACTCTCGCACCTAAGACACAAGCAAGAGTGAAAGCTGGCACCTCTCTCCAACTACTACTCAAAGCTTAGACCCTGGGGCCTCCACAGATCCTTCCTCACCTTTAATACAATCACAGCTCATTAGATCTCTCATTCAGGATGACACATGAACATTTAGGGCTGCCTGAGCACCCTTTCAGGAGTCAGTTAACAAGGAAAGTAACTAAGCCTGCAGGTCAAGGGAAGGACTAAAGCCTAAGCTAGGTTCTAGACAGTCTGTGTCAACCTTCCTGGGGAAACCACACAACCTTCTGACCATCACAGCCTTTGGGAGCCTCTCTGCACTGCCAGCCCTACTCACCTTAAATGAAAGGTCCCCATTCTCCTCAGAAAGCTGGCTAATCTTTCGATCCATCTGGTTCTTCTCTGTCTTCAGGTTCTGACACTGCTTCAAAGTCTCATGAAGCCGCATGGTGAGGCTGGCAGAAGAGGAGCAGTGAGACTGTTGTGGCCCCTAACTGAGCCAGCAGGGACTGGATATTGGGAGGGCAGGGAGAGTCATACCTCTCATTCTTACTACGGAGCTCCTCAAGCTCCCCGGATTCTTGTGAGCTGGCTGCCTGTTTCTCATTCAGCAGAGCTAGGTGGTCAATGCGCTGCTGCATCATAGCTATCTGTGCATCTGCCCAAGACAGGGAGGAGCTGAGAGTGAGCAAAGAACCAAGGGACAGGAAAGAGGCAAAGGAGGCACACAGTGTCCATTACAGAAAATGGACATGAGCAGGAACAGAACCCAGTGTCTAGCAGGTAAGCCTGACACCTGTGTCAGGGCTGAGCATGAAGCCTCACTGTCAGCTGAAAGGACAAGATGGTAGGCAAAGCCTTTGCCAGGGCTTCCCCATTACCAGCACCCACACATTTTGTCAGGTACCTTACCCTTCTCAGTAAGGAGCTTGAGGCTCTCAGATAGCTCCAGCTCCAGCTCATCCCTGTTGTTCCTCTCATCTGCCAGCTGTTTCTTCAGTCGTCTCATCTGGAATTGTGGGGTCTGCAGGATGTCACCCATAGGGGAGGATGGAGAACCTGAGAGGAAGCTAAGGAAGAGATGACAAAAGTAACAGGGTAAGAGCCTCTGGTCTGAGGTAACCAGCAACAGCTAGGAATGGAACAGCACAAGTGACCATGTTCAACACTGGCTTGGGAGAACAATGAGCCTGGGTTCCATCTGCCAGGCTACATCATGTCTACTAGGGACATGACCCAGAAGAAACTTTCCTTCTCCATGGTTAATTCTTGGCTGAAGAATTGGAGACACATATTTTGAAGGAAGAAGGAAAACTGTTTTTGAGGGAGGACTAATTTCCCAACAGATCCCAAATAAACAGCATCCTAGTGATATAAATAAAGGGCTGGCTAATAGCTTAGCCTCCAGTATTCAACAACTGACTAGATGGATGTAGAGACACTATGCCAGGAAGAGGACTAGGACTTACTTGTTCTCACTGGAAGATGAAGCAATTTTCTGTATTTCTAGGAAGCGAATCTTCCTCTTGGCCTGGTGGCTAGGTGGAGAAAGGTCCTCAGAGACAGCACTGGAATAGGTGTAAGGAACTAGGGGTAAGAAACAGAGAAACAAACCAAGAATAGTTGGTAAGGGGGTGAACAGATTTTCACATTTATATAATAGGTCAACAATACTTTAGGAGATGTGAATCTCCAGACACTCACACATAAACTGAAGAGGCAATTACTAAGTAGAACCTGACCCACAAGGTCAAGGTCTTTAACTAAAAGCAAGTGTAGGGCTTCCACTTCCTCGAGCAAAGTCTTCAAAAGACACCTCAACAGCCTGTGTGATGCCACCAGCCTGAGTGGACACTTCCACACCTGGGCTCTGTATCACCAAGGTATAAAATACTCTTTTCCCTTGATTCCCATCACCACTTTCTCAGGATTCTGCTACCTCTAATCACCCTTCCTCTTCCACCTTTTCTTCCTACCTCTTCTCTCTTTTTCCAGAGACATCATGGGGCCTCTTTGCTCTGTCTACCTGCAGCTTCAATGGCTGAGAAGCCGACCTGCAAACTTGCATCTGACTCAGAGCTTTCTTACATTCTAGAATCCCATTCTCAACATCTCCACCTCATGAACCCGGAATGAAGAATCCCACCCAACAGCTACTTCAACAGGCAGAAAAGAACTTTCCCAGAACTATGGCTCAGAGTCCTAGTAACAGTCTTCATCAGACAGGAAGAACTCTCATTTTGTGAGGTACTTGGCATATCTACACTTGGTTCCCTTATCAAGCTTACTTGTTTGTATATACCTGCCTCCCACTTAAAGCATGAAGGGAAACCTTTTACAAGGTTTACAAAAAATGTTTATCTCCAACTTCTAAGCCTAGACTTTAAAAGACAAAAACCAAAGAAACAGAGATATGGCTTAGCACTTCAAGAGGACTCAAGTTCAATTCCCATCATCCACGACAACTTACAATTCTAAGTTATTAGTTCAGTTCCAGAAGCTCCAACACCCTTTTCTGACTTCTGTGGGTACCAGGCACATACATAGTGTACAGACAGACATGCAGGCAACACCCATACATATAAAGTAAAATAAAACAAAAAACAAAAAACAAAAAAAAAAAACCAAAATATTGTGAAAAGTGGGAGTTCAGATCACCCTAATGCAGATATGATCACTTACAAGAATCCTGCTGAACTGTCAGGCAGCAGAGAGCTACTCCAGATGATCTGAGGTATTAACAACATGGCTCAGAAATCACTTTCCATCAAACATGACTCCTGAATACCAACTCTGTGCCATGTGTTGGGGTCAGAGGATCCCAGCAGTTCTCTGCTCAGAGAGAGAGAGTAGATCCTCACAAGTGGCCCTACTCACCTTTCTCCAAGAAATTTTCTAGGTCATCAGTAAGGTTTAATGAATCCTCATGATCCAGCATAAACTTCAGGATGACAGCTAACTCAGCCTGTGCCACGGGGAAAGAAAAATGAACATCATTGTGGCTTTGGTAACGACACCGAAAGGAGGGCTCAGGACTGATTCTAGCAGTGCTAAACCCCCAGGGATTGCTGGACCATTCTTTTCTGAACAAAGATGAAGCAACATGGCCTCACCCAGAACACACCGGCTCTACTTGTCCTTCCCTGACCAGAGAGCTTTTATATGTAACTTTCTTGACTTCTTGCAAATAACCCCTACCAGAGTGGGATGCCAACTACACCTATGAGGACATACACAGGAAAAAGAAGTAACTTCTACATATTCTCCCAACTACAGAGGACAATTAAAACCATGAACATAACAAAGGCCTCAGAAGCCAATCCCTTAAGAAGTTAGTAGTTGTCTCTAGGGGGATGAGATTACTGGCAATATCATTCCCTTCTTTGTACTTTAACATTTTTTGCTTATTTTTTTTTTTTTTTAAATAATGAATGGCTGTCATTCCTATAATCATTAACTTTTTAGATGATGGAATATTTTCTTCAAATCTTACTAAATGTTAATGGACTAAATATTGTTAACTGTGATTCTTATGATAACTGTTGTGTGATATATTTTTGCTATGTTAAGGTTAAAACCCTTCTTTTTATTTAGACAGAAAAGAGAAGATGATGGGAGATGTCAGTCTGTAAATATGTTTCTCATACTGGTTAATGAATAAAGCACTGTTGGCCAATATGAAAGCAAGATAGGCGGGACTAGGAGACAAGGAGGATTCGAGGAAGTAGTAGGGAGGAGTCAACATGGAGAGACTGGGGAAAACAGAGGTCCTGGCCCACTCTCCGGTAAGATGAGACCACATGGAAATATTTAGATTAATAGAAATGGGTTAATAATTAAGACAGAGCTAGCTGATAAGAAACAAGTAACTGGCCAACAGCATTGTATCAAATACAGAATCTCTGTGTGTTAATTGGGGCTGGCGCCACGGTGGGTCCAGGCCAGTAGGAAAAACCTTACTCGTAACAGAGAATATTAACTTTTATTTAAAGAGAAATGATTGGGTAAGGGAAGCCCAGGCTAGGCTGGCAAGTAGGATGAAGGCACAAGAGCCTACCTGAATCTTATATTCAAACTGTTCCCAGTCCCGTGGATTTCTGGAGCTCATGGTGGAGTGATATAGAAACAGCATTACCATCTAGAAGCCAAGCAAAGAGGTTGCCACTGAGTGAGACCTATCTCATCCTGGTAATCCCACTCAAGAGCCATTTGAGGACTCTGAGCTTCTTTCACAATTTCTATAATTAGTAATCCCAAATCACCATCCTTAATAGTCCCAAGAGGGGAAATGACTCAGGGGTTAAGAGCACTGGCTTTTCTAGAGGACCCAGGTTCAATTCCCAACAGCCACACGGCAGCTCACAACTGTCTGTGTAACTCCAGTTCCAGGGGATCTGATACATTCTCACAGATACACATACAGGCAAAACACCAATGTGTATAAAAATCAATCTTGGGGAGAAAAAGAAAAAGAGTTCTAGGAGACACCTTTTACAAAAATAAATCCAAGGGCTCGACAGGTGGTGGTGCATTCCTTTAATCCCAGCACTCAAGAGGCAGAGGCAGGCAGATCTCTTGAGTTGAAGGCCAGCCTGGGTCTACAGAGTGAGTTCCAGGACAGCCAGGGCTACAAAGGGAAGCACTGTCTGGAAGAACCAAAACTACTACTACTACTACTACTACTACTACTACTACTACTACTACTACTAATGCTACTGCTACTACTGCTAATACTACTAATACTAATACTACTACTACTAATAATAATAACAACAACAACAACTAAATCTAAAGGCTTGATGCTCTTGGTGCAAAAAGACAGGTGTCAGGATTTCAACACAACTATATTCCTGGATTTGTGGAATCACGAGCATAAAACTTAAGGCACCACCCTCTGTAGACCAACACCCAACAGAGAAAATGAAGTCATTTGATCCCGCTTGAAAAAAAATATCACTGAGTGAGAACTGATTCCTACAAATCTCCATGGTGGGCTTCAGTGTTGGTCAAGTAAACTTATTTGTCAAAAGCTCCCAGAATCCTTGGAAAATTACAACCTCTGGCTCAGCCAACTGGCTAGCCTTGCCTCCAGGGCTGAAGAATCCCATAAACAAAGCACTCAGCACTCCTCATTCAGGTTCAGAAAACACTCTGCACATTTCTCAGGTCCCTGCCACCCAGGTCTGGTATCCCACAGGTACCTTGGCCAATTCCATCTCAGACCCCTCCATCACTTTCTGCACAGACACCAGGCATTGTGTAGACAAGGGATGTTTCCAATTTTCTGCAATGACAACCATGTAGCAAACACTGAACTCTGAAACCTCAAGTTCAGGCAAAATTCCAGTCTCTGAGGAGATTCCAAGACAAAGGGCTTCTATCCCTGATGTTCTCTTTCACCCAGCTTAAGTCAGTCCTACCTTGGGGCAGCCCAAGGGCTCCATGGATAGGGTTAGAAGAAAGTGCCATGGGATCAGCAATAAGTCTGGGTCAATCCCCTATACTCACCTGCCAGCTCATCACCTCCCCCACTTAACACCATAGAAGAAGCCAGAGATATGAGCTCATCCTAGAGCCCTATTCCAACTAAGGCTGCAGAGGTCTACAGTTGGTCCAATTAGAACAGAGGACACCAGGCCCTTATTCTGCCAGAGTGTATCACAGTTACAGGCCATTAGGACAAAAATCTCACCTGCCCTGTAATTTTCTTGTGGTAGAAATGGCAGGCAGCTCCCCTGTTAAAGATGTCAGACTCTGTGGTACGAGGATGACCAGGGAAGGGGAGCTGACATGTTCTATGCCAAGTTTCACTTTCTTTTTTGTCCCCCTAGCTCTGTAGACCTCAAACTCACAAAGATCTGCCTGCCTTTCTCCCAAATGCTGGGATTAAAGGTATGCATTATCACCACCCAGCTTCACAAACATTAATCTTCCCACTAACCTGATGAGTAGTTATCATTATCTCCATACCATATACCAAGAACCCATTTCTTAAAAAAAAAAAAAAAAAAAAAAAAAAGTGTCCTTGCCCCTTTACCTACTACCTAAGAAAACTATTTTTTTTTTTTTTTTTTTTTTTTTTTGGGTGAGGGAAAGTTTTCTTACAAGGTTAATTTGAACCTTTTCCTCTTCTGTTTCTTGTTGTGATCAACAAGTGAACACAAGTGATGTCAACCCTCTGATCTACCTGGACCTGATGGGGACACTTTTCTTAACATAAGCTGGTGACAGAGGCATTTCAAGATCCAGGGAGATTGACACAGCTGTGTTTGTCTCTTTGCTAGAGTGGGGGGGGCCTGAACCTTTTATTGGCCAGACACCCATGGTTCCCAAGTCCTAGGAGCTGGAGCTGCCCATCTACTTAAGAAAGACACTTACTTTGTAGAAACCGGCAAACAAAATCCAGTCGCTCTGGCACTGGCTGCTGAAGAATCTGTTGCCCCTCTTCAGTGTTATGGCTAAGACAAAACAAACAAAGAGGAAGCATTAGGACAGGAATAGTCAGCCATCTTTGCCTCACTGCTTACCTACTACAGCCTTCCTCCATCCTTCAGACCCAGTCTGTCCTAGGTCTGGGAAAGAATCACACCTGACCCTGGAGGCACAGAGAAGATACAAGGGCACTACTTTATTCTGATGAAAATGTGTGGTGGGTGAGAAGAGGAGACTCGAAGCACAGGGTCTTTCCATAAAATACAGCACTCTGCTAACTCATTTCCACAATGAGAAAGCTTTGTGGGAAAGAGCTGGGATGAGGTGGCACAGATGAATGGGAAGCCAGGTTAAACAGCCTGGAGTGGCTCAACAGTAACATGTCAGGAAACCCAGGATGCATGGCTAAAGTAGTAGAGAGGTCCATGGGAAGAGAAAACAGGGCCAAAATGTGAAAAATGGGTGGAGACAAGGAAGGCTCTGAGATGACAGGGCAAAGTTCCCACCCTCCACACTGGGTAGAAAAAGAAATGGCCAAGAAATAATCATTCTTGATGAGCGTCCCTACCTTCCCCCAACTGCCCAACAGTCAACCCTTAGAAAAAGAAACAAGGAAGAGAAGAAAGCAGCAAGAAGACGTACCTCATACACAGCCAGGCAGAGCCACTTTCTCTATCTACAGCTTCGTTTTCTGAGGTGACTCTGCTTCTCTACCTTACATTAGAAAGCTAACTTATCTCCAGGTATAGCTAGAAATACTGATAACCAAAGATATCCAAACTCCTTAAGACCTAAATCCTCACATCTCAGCAAACTTTCTGGAGAGCAGGGCTGGCCCTACAACCATTCAGTGCTAGAGACAGCCTTGTAAACCAAAGGTACATACAGCTATACCATGAGCATGAATGACCTTACCTTTTCCTGGGCAGAAAGAAACTGACTTCTCCCAGGTAAAGACCCTCCCCATTACCATTCCAAGAAGCATTGGGGCCTGCTAGCGGTAAGTGACTCCTATAGTCTTTTCCTAAAAGCCATCTTCCTTACCACCACACTTGGAAATGCAGCAAGCCCTTGCATTAATGAAGAAGAGTATTGTACTTACCTAAAGTAAGAGAATTCTCTAGCCAACTGTTTGCAAAAATCCTTGTTTAAACCAAAGTGAAGCTAGCTAGGTGTGGTAGTTCACACCTAAAATAATCTCAGCACATTTGAAGTAGCGACAGTAGGATTAGAAATTCAAGGCCAAGCTTATCTTTAAAATATATGTATATAGAGAGATACAGATGTTTTCTATCTTTCTCTTTGTTGTTTTTTTGTTTTGTTTTGTTTTTTGAGACAGATCTTACTGTGTTTCCCAGACTTGTCTTCAACTCACAGGCTCAAGTAATCCTCCTCCCTCAGAGTCTCAAATACTTGGAGACTACATACCTACACTATCATACACTGTCAACATTTTCTAAAAGCAGTATGTAACACATTATCTATTAAACCTATTTGACCACAAAAAAATTTTTCATACTGCCCCTAGCATTGAACATACAAGTCCTAGAACAGTGATTCTCACTTTCTTAAAACTGATACCCTTTAATATATGTCCTTATGCCAAGGGGACCCTCACTACTGTTATGAACTGCAATGTCGATATCTAATAGCAGGATATCTGATATGGGACTCATCCAGGAGTCTCAACTCACGGGTTGAAAACTGCTGTCCTAGAGAAATGCAACCCATCCTAGACTATTCAAGTTTCAAACTATTAGGAAGCTATCTAGAATGACTCCTGTCACACCTCCTACACCCTCTTCTCAGGTATCCTACAGTGCTCAGACATCCACACAACTGCACCTCATACAACTAACTGACCATGCTAGGTGCTGGTACAAAAGTTAGGCAGCTAGCCAGTACTCAGGACATCCAGGACTTGACAGCTGAGGGGTGCTTTTTAAAGAGGAGAAACATCAATAAGACAAACATTATACCCTTTAAGGGAGAAAAAAGTAAATAAAAGATCTTTTTTCCCAGCCCTCAGTGGCAGAAGCAGGTGGGTCTTCATGAGTTTAAAGCCAGCCTCATTTACATAGTTCCAAGCCACACAAAGCTGCATAATGAGATCCTGTCTTTAAAAAAAAAAAAAAAAACACGAAGAAAAGGAGGAAAAAGAGAAAAAGATAATCATCAGGCCTTTATATTAAATTTTGCTACTCAAGTCTCAAAGCTATCAAAGACAAAGGACAACCTTTTTGCTTTACACTGTAAACATACAGAAAATTGAAAGGGGAAATCCTCAGGAACCAATGACAATGCATTTCCCATTAAAAAAAAAAAAAGGGGGGGGGGAGTGGCGGCAATTAGCACATAGCTCCTGCCTGCCAGTCCACAATCCTTCCTTGAGAAAGAAGACTTCTGAGTTGAGTAGCACTATCAGTAGAACTACCAGAAAAGCAACAGCCATAGCATCCTAAGGATGTCTGTTTTCCCAAAGGCAACTACTCTGTTTCATCTTGTATCTGACATGGAGGCAATAGTTAATCTAGGATCTTAATATCTGCTAGTCTAAGACTCAGGCAGGACTCTACAAGAAAGAATAGGTATCTTAGACTCAGGCAGGACTCTACAAGAGAGAATAGGTATCTTAAATTTCTCTTTGAAAAGTTTCTTCCAGATTGGTTAAAGCAAGAACAAATACACATTCTTCTGGACTGTGGAGTAGCAGCTTTCTTACAAAGGATCCACCAGGAGAAAGGAAGGATTATAATGATGCTGAGGAAACTAAGACACTCAGGAAATTCACCAACAAGGCCCTCCCCACGGTTACAATTGCCAGCAGGAAGAAGAGACACTTTCCTAAAGATGCTGGCAAACTGTACAGGAAACTCCAAAGATTTGCTTTGCTGAGTTGTCACCCATTCGAGCATAAACTTTTTTTGGGTATGCAGCTACTTGAGTCACCTGTTCTCCTATAAGTAACTATTAAATGCATGGATTCACCAAGGTCAACTGGGAGAGAACATTTTTTTGGTCTGCTGCCAGAACCCTATCTGTGGTACTTGACCACTTCTATCCACGACCCCCCCAGTAAAACTTACACAACATGGACTACCTATTGCTTTTGTATGTATGTGTGTATGTATGTATGTATGTATGTATAAATAAATAAATAAATAAATAAGAACTTTTTTGTGTATGGGTATTTTTGCCTGCATGTATGTCTATGCACCTTGAGTCACTGGTGCCTATGAAGGCCATTAAAAGATATAAAATCCCCTGGAACTGGAGTTACAGAACATGTGAGTCAGCATGTGGTGGCATTAATGGGACTCAGTTCTTCTGGAAGATCAACCAACCAGTGCTCTTAACCACAGAGCTGTCTCTAGCACAGTTTGTTGTTGTTGTTGTTTTAAACATCAGCCTCATCTATAACACACACACACACCATAATGTATATTACAACTCAGAGGGTATTATATCTACTTGCTTGTCCTTTATGGATACTAAAATTAAATGGTGGGTTAGGTAATGCCAGCCTAAATCAATTTACCCATCATTGATGACAGATGCCTCAATCTATCACTCTATTACCACCTGAAAATAATTTAAGGAAAAAAAAATTTTTTTTTTTTTTTTTTGAGAGAGGATCTGATTATGTAGACAGTCCTGGCTGGCCTGGAACTTACAGAGATCTGCTTGCCTCTGCCTCATGAGTGCTAGGAAAGTATTATTATTATTATTATTTTTTTTTTTTTATTTATTTTAGTTTATGTGTACTGTATACACATGCCTATGTAAGTGTATGCACCTGTGTGCAGGCAGGAGTCAGTAGGAGGCATTGAATTCCGAAGAGCTGAAGTTAAAGGCATTTGCAGGGTGCCTCCCCAGATACTGGGATCTGAATTCCAGTGCTCATGATTATTCAACATGTGTTCTTAACTGCTGAACCACCTCTCCTGCCCTCTAAAACTAATGACTTTTTTAGGAGCTGCAAACTGCTCATTTATAGGCACCCTTGAGAAAAGAAAAGAACTTCCAGTTATCAGTTTATATAGGCAACAAGAGCAAAAGCTAAGCAGCACCAAGACAATACAATGAACAAAACCAGGATTTAGGTGTTCTACAGGATGTAAATAATGGGACAAGAAGAGAGAAAGAAGCTGAAACTACATTCAGTGAGAAATAAGCTAAGCTACTTGACAAAAGATTTCTGGGGAGAGGGAGTAATACAGGATAGGGTCTCTCTACCTTGCAGATCAGGCAGGTCCTGATGTCACATTGATCCCTCTGCAAGCATGGACCACCACACCCAGTTTAAGAGTTTTCTCTATGTTGCTCATACTCACCAGCAAGTCTCCTGCTTCAGCCTCCCAAGCACGACACCCACCATATCTACCTTAATAAATAATATTTTAGATAAAGATTTTAATCGGGTATGGTGACAAACACTTACAATCCATGCACCTGGGAAACAATTTCAAGACCACCCTTGACTACATAAGATCCTGCCTCAATTAAAAAAAAAAAAAAAAAAAAGAATTCAAACAATCTGCTAGCTCTAGAGAGTCACTGAAGCACTACAAGCAAAGAAATTAATGAGGCCATGAGGCTTGGTATCCAGATGAGGCAGAGGAAGTTTTCTTTGTGGTGTATACCTTTAATCCCAGTACTCAGGAGACAGAAGGCAGATGAATCTCTGGGAGTTCGAGGCCAGCCTGGTCTACAGAGCTAGTTCAGGGCTACAGAGAGAAACCCTGTCTCAAAAAACAAGAACTATAACAAAAAAGAACCAGTCAATGCCAAGGAGAGAAAGGATCAGCATGATGCTGAAATATCCAGCCTGAGTAACTGGGAAAGAAAATGGTAGTATTGGGGCCAATGGTGAGGTCTTTCAATGGAACCAAAACAGCTGCTGGTTAGAACCAGAATTTTCCAAACACCATATTTCAAAGGATAGCATAAACCATTATAATAGATTTATCTTTCCTGGGCTACTCAGCAGCACTAGTCTTGCCAAAGACTTCCAACTCCCCCTTATCCACTTCGATAACACTCAGTGAGACGGTTCAAGCAAGGAAAAGGAGAAGACTCTGAAGTCTGATGACTTGAGTTTAATCCCTGTAACCCATAATGGATAGAAACAACTCCTGAAAGTTATCCTCTGACCTCCGCCTGAATGCTATGGCATATAAATATCCATTCACTCGAATACATCACACATACACACAATAATGAGATAGCGAGGCAATGGTAAATCATAAAAAGAAAGTTACAGAAGACTACTTTTGAGACAGGAAGGTGGAAAGCCCTTGGGGGTAGTCTCTTAGAATTGTGCATAGAGTCTTGAAGAGCCTTCTGTAGACTGAAACTCCTCCCAATGAAAGGTTGAGTAACTAGAAAGCCAAGATCAAGACGCCAGTCTATGAGCCCACTTATCCTTCTATTACCCCAACCTCATCTGGTTTCTGATCAGAGCCCATCATTAGCTGACTTTGCAGAATTGTACTCACATGGTGTTAATAATCTTAATGAAGATGCTACAGTCCTGGAGCTGCAACACTGTCTCCACTGGGTCAGCCACGTGTAGACTGTTTACCTGCAAGCCAAAGGGAAGAGTCTGGTGAGACTACTTATAATGCCAGAAGCAGTTCATTGCCACGCAAGTGGTGGTGACCGTGGTGCTCGCCTTTAATCCCAGAACTGGGGAGGCAGACGCAGGCTGATCTCTGTGAGGTCAAGGATAGCCTGGTCTACAGTGAGCCAGAGGTACAGTGAAGCCCTGTCTCAAAAAAAAAAAAAAAAAAAAAAAAAAACAGCAGCAAATTCCAGAGGCATTTGTTCACACTATCTCCCAGATGCTGTCACCACTCTGCTCACTGTGAGCGCCTACAGTTGTAGGCTACATTCCAGGGTTTTGTTTTTAAAGATAAAAGTCTCAGGGGCTGGAGAGATGGCTCAGAGGTTAAGAGCACTGACTGCTCTTCCAAAGTCCTGAGTTCAATTCCCAGCAACCACATGGTGGCTCACAACCACCTGTAATGAGATTTGGTGCCCTCTTCTGACATGCAGGCAGAATACTATATATATAATTAATAAATTTAAAAAAAATTAATTAAAAAAAGACCATTAATTTAAAAAAAAAAAAGATAAAGTCTCACTATTTACCTTAGGCTGTCAGAAAATGTTTAATCCTCCAGCTTCTACTTCCCAAATGTTTCGGGGCTGCATGTATGCACTATACTAAGCCAAGATTTTTAAATCTATACCCACTCACCCAGTGAATGTACCCATACAAAACCAACTAAAGCAAATCAAAAAGATCAGGCTTTTACCAGTAAGAGGCCACTATAAGAGCTCTCTCACCAGATGGCTCAGTGGTTAAGAGCACTGCCCATTCTTTCAAAGGTCCTGAGTTCAATTCTCAGCAACGACATGGTGGTTTCCAGCCATCTGTATTGAGATCTGGTGCCCTCTACTGGCACACAGGTGTACATGCAGGGAGGAGAAAGAGGGAGAGGGAGAGGGAGAGGGAGACCTAAGCCTAGCAAGATGACTTAGCAGGTAACTGCACCTGCTGCCAAGCCTAATGACTTCATTTTGATCTTCAACCCACAAGGTAAAGATTAAACTTCAGCTTTCTTCTCTGACTTCCATTTGTGCATGTGTGGACAAACACTAAACACTAAACAAACAATGCAAAAAATAATGTTTGCAAACATACACTTTAGACTGAGGGGGAAAGGAAGAAAAAAGAAAGAATACAAAGTAAGTTTTTTGTTTGTTTGCTTTTTTTAAAGGAAAAGAGCAGGAGAAGGTAAAGTTCTCAATTCTGATCCAATTGCCTGTTCTTTTTGGCTTCAATAGCCACCCAATACTTAATACTACAAAATTCACCAGGAGTCACACACAAATATTTTTAAGTACATGGGATATTCAATAGCATTTACACTAACTTGTATAGGGAATCCCACAAGCACGAGTTCAAGTTTACATCTATTACCATGAGGCTTGCTAATTAACTAACTACATTTGTTACACAAAGAGGGGAGGAAGACAAAGCCTGCTTAGAAATGAGGCTGTTCTAACAATTTCAGAATGTGGTTATGTGCTATCAATTACAATCCATTGCTTATAAATGTGTTCTTTAAAGAACAATGGGCAAAGATCCAGTGATATGGCTTAATAGGAAAAGGTGACTGTTGCCAAGCCTGACAACCTGAGCTCAATCTCTGAACTAAGTAGGCACAGTGATACAAGCCTATAATTTCAGCTCCAGGGAATCTGAGGAAAGAGCATCACTCGCAGTTTCAGGATAGCATGGGCTACACAGCAAGGTCCCACCTTTCATATACATATTATCTTGAGAGTTTTTTTGTTTGTTTGTTTGTTTGGGGGGTTTTGGGTGGGCATTGAGACAGGGATTGTCTGTGTAGCCTTGGCTATCCTGGAATTCACTCTGTAGACTAGACTGGCCTCGAACTCACCTGCCTCTTCCTCCCAAATATTAGGATTAAAAGCATTCATCACCACCACCTGGGTCATGTACCTATTATTTTAAATTAAAATAATGAAGTAGGGTGCTAAAGGGGATGGCTGAGCAGTTAAGAGCACTAGCTGCTCTTCTAGAGGACCTGGGTTCAATTCTAAAATCCACATGGTGGTTTACAAAACATCTGTAAACTCTAGTCTCAAGGAATCCAACACCCATCCTACTCTGGCCTGCTCAGGCACCAGGCACAAAAAATAACTATATACATAAAAATAAACCAAATTTTAAAAAATTAAAATGGGGGCTGAAAGACAGCTCATGGGTGAAGAACATGGTTCCAGAGAAGCCAAGTCAACTCCTAGCACACATATCAGGCAGACAGATCACTGTCAGGTCCAAAGCCTCGTGCCCAACCCCACTGTCCTTTTCCCCAAAAATGACAGTGCTGGTTGTCCTAAACAGAAAGATTACTATTGTGTAAACAAGCCTAAAGGTTCCTGTTTACTAAGAAAGCAGACCTCTTAAGGTGTTTCTGTAGATCTCCAGGAGCCTCCCTTAACCTTCTCCTAAAGGTCAACTATCTCTAGTAAGGGCACCTAATTCTGGATGGCCTGTATCAATTCAGATCCCCATCCTACTAACTGTCATATAAAAGCTGCTTGCTTTTCTGCCATTTGCTCTTCTCTCTGCCCCAACCCATAAAGATGGCCTTGGCAGTTTGATTTCCCCACAAAAAACTTTCTGCCCACAGGAGTGGTCTAGCTCCACAGTTTCTCTGCAACATTTCTTGTATTTGATCTCTGAAACCTGGGAGGGACAGACACTTAACCCCCCCCCCCCAAAAGATCCTGTCCTTCCTAACTGAACCAAACTGCCAATTTTGACCCTCCCAGGTTCAGACCATTTGCTTCTGCTGGCTCCTGCCACCCACCATTTTCAACTCCAAATTTTAAGAGTCTACCTCTTCACCTACTCTAACCACTCACCTCTACCTCTCCTCACCTCCTCAGTGTCTCTGCACATATGGGCAGTGGACCTGGAACTTGCTTCAGTATGGCTGTAAAGGTCCCTTCACCAGGACCCTGCCTCAACTGTGGACAAGTGCAACACTTATAGAATATACACTGCCCCTCCTTACTTTGTCAAGGTGGGTCAGTTTCCCAATTCCCTCTACAGGAAAGTGTCAGATCTGGGCCTGGCAGCCCAGAACTAACAGCCCTGGGACTTCTGCCCACAACAAGATCAAGATCACCAATGGAACCTAGGCGGGCTGTCTGAGTAGCCAGTATGTCTCTGACATTCTAAACTAATACAGGACATTTGGTCTATAGTTCCTACTCAGATATCTGTGGTGGCAATGATAGTGGTCCCTGACCTGATCAGAGTAACCAACCTCAGCCAGCCTCTCCCCTGTAGGCTGCAACTGCCAGATTCATAGGTACAAAGTCTGTTTCATCTTAAAAAAAAAATTTTTTTTTGCTTTACAGTAACTTAAGGTGTAAAAATTGCACATGTTGCTTGCTAATGATACAGGTTTGAGAGCTTCAAAAGAAAGTTTAAGGTATAGGTCTCAAATGAAAATCTCTGAAACTGAGGCCAATTGCTGAATTAGTTTCACATGTAAAACTCAGGCCTTAATTTTTCTAGGGCTACTAAGTCTCCTGATGAGAAAGACAAACTCACAGACAGGTTTACCTTGATGACAAGCTTCAAGCAGAGAAAGGTAAACTCACAAAATAGGGTTTCAATGTAAAAATTTTGCTTTTTACTCTTCCTTCATTTAGAAGAACTTGCTTTTCAGTGACGGCTCTCAGTATCAACCACCTATGTCTCAAAGTAAATGATTGGATGTTTCCAAATAAAAAAGAAAAGTTGTGAAGGTCTGAAGAAGTGACTTAAGGCATGTTAAAAGAGAGACAGAGACAGAGAGATACTTAAAGGTGATACATATGGGGCTGGAGAGATGGCCCAGAGGTTAAAAGCATTGTCTGCTCTTCCAGAGGTCCTGAGTTCCATTTCTAGCAACCACATGGTGGCTCACAACCATCTATAACGAGATCTGGGGAGGGGGTGTCTTTTGTTTTGAGACAGGATTTCTCTGTATAGTCCTTTCCTGGAACTCTCTTTGTAGGCCATGCTAGCCTTGAACTCACAGAGATCTACCTGTGTCTACCCTGGGTGTTAGGATTATAGTGCCCCTTCATCAAGCTACATCTCTGTATCCCTTAACAAAATTAGTTTTTTGAGAAGAGCTTCTGGGGTCCCAAATTAGAGTTTTGCTCTTGCTAGTAAGTGCTCAATACTCAACTATAATCTCAGCACTGACAAGTGTTTTTCTTTTATCTTTCCCCTAGGAAATTATTTTATTTTTAAGATCTATTTATTATGTGCATGAATATGTACCTGCATGAATTTATGTTCAGCAAGTACTCTTATAACACAAATAAATAACACAGATATTGGGATTCAACCTGAAGATCAGGGAAGCAAAGCAGCCAGCCACCAGCTCTTACCTCAAACTCAGGCTGAAAGGGCTGATCCACACACAAGCTCTTCACCAAGTCTCAGATTGCTGCCTCTCCTCAGCATGGCTGGAGAATAAATGCCTCCTACTGAATACTGAAGTCCCTGCTTCTATCTTTTATACCCCTCTAGTGCTGGGATTAAAGGCCTGTGATTTGTTAATCTTTTAGACTGATTCAATCTTGTGTATCCCTGGGTGGCTTTAAACTCAGAAAGATCTGTCTACCTCTTAATCCTGAGTCCTAGGATTACAGGTGTGTACTACCACCTCCTAGCTCCTGGCTGCTGGGATTAAAGGTGTGTGCCTAGCTCCTTCCTGTGGCTTGTGGCTGACTTTGCATTCTGAATCCTCCAACAAGCTTTAACAAATCATAAATAATATATCACTACCAACCCTCCAAGATCAGAGGGCATCAGAGCTCCTGGAACAGGGGCTATAGGCAATTTGTAAACTGACTGATGTGAGTTGAGTACTAGGAGTCAAACCTTGATCCTCTGCAAATGTTCTTAGTTGGCCTTTGAGCTTTGAGGACTCTCTTGTCTTTATCTTCTGTCTCACCATAGGAGTACTGAGATTACAGACACTGGCTACCATGCCTGGTTTACAGGGGTTCTAAGGTCTTAAATTTGGACTCTCATGTTTCTTCTTTATCACTGAGCCATCTCTCTAGCCCTACTATATTTTATACCATTCTTTGCACATAATAAAAGCCCTGTTTCAAGCTGATATTTTATAAAATTAATTCATGAGTGCTTTGCCTCCTTATATGTAGATGCACCAAATGCACACAGTACCTTAGGAGGCCAGAAGAAGTTGGATACCCTGGAACTGGAGTTAGAGACGGTTGTGAGGACCAAACCAGGTTCCTCTGCAAAAGCAGCAGCAAATGCTCTTAACTGCTGAGCCATCTCTCCATTCCTAATAAATAAATCTTATTAAAAATAAAAGGGGAGGTGTTGGTGACAAATACCTTCAATCCCAGCACTCGGGAGGCAGAGACAGGCGGATCTCTGTGAATTTGAGGCCAACCTGGTCTACAGAGTCAGTTCCAGGCTACACAAAGAAACCCTGTCTTGAAAAACAAAACAAAAAACAAACAAAACTAGTTGGTTAGTCTTCTATCTATTCTAACAAGACTAGCTTTGGGTGGTGTCAAGGCTGCCAACTCTACTCTCCTCTATTGGAAAAAGTCAAGGAAGCATTTGCAGAAAAACCAGGGCTCATCAACAATAAATCCTATTATGAAAATGGTTGATTGATCAAGAACAGTGAGCAAATGTTCAGAACTGGATGAACTAATGAGTAAAAAATGTACACTGAGAAATATGTGATTTACACGAGGACTGAACATGGCACCCCAATGCCCCAGCATTGTTGTCTTAAATTAATGGTGGAGAGAAGACTTTAAATAACTTTTAGCAATGCTGATGGAAAATTCAACACTGCTACTGAAAAAAAAAAAAAAAAAACTCACTTAACCTCCCAATGGTTGTAGATAAACACAGTTTACATCACTTTCATAATAGCATAGACTAGATATTTAGACTAAACTCTGGCATTCAAAATTTTTGAGAGTTATCTATAACAAAAAGTGGTTATAAGAATTCTGTACTTTAGAATAACAATGCTATCCTAAGTCTCACATAATATTTTAACTAATTTACATCCATCTCTGGATTTAGTTAAAGACTTAATGTTCTTCCCTCTGGGAGTGCAGTAAAAGTATGTATTGCACAGTGTCAAGTAAAGGACATTACTGTCTTAATTTTACCATATGCTACATTTGGCTGTTGCTATTTTTATTCAATGAAGCAACATCTTTGCAGCACACTAAAGAACAAATAAAATATTCACCTTCATTTTAAAAAGGAGGAAGAAGAGGAAACAGAACAATGGACGCAGATAGAAACAAAATAAAGAAAGTGTAAAAGACATTCAAAGATTAGGTCTTTGAAGACCAACCAATGTGGGCCACCAAGATTCACAGTCAACCCTTTAGTCAGAATAGTATACAGCCTGGTGTGGTAGTACAAACTTTGATCCCAGCACTCAGGAGGCAGAGGCAATCGGAAGTCCAAGTTCAGTCCAGGCAAGATTAACTACGTACACAGTGAGATCCTGTCACACACAAAAAAGAGAAGTATACAGAACAGATGAGAGTGGGTTTGCACGATGTCCAAATGTTCTGTTCCATGACCAAAAGGACCTCAGAGAAGCCTGCATTTAGCTATACAAGTCAACATTATCAGCAGCAACAGTATCTTTGGCAATATGAAAAATTACATAGCCTGAAAATGGGAGAACTTTACAGAGCCCTGGCTCATAAAATGTCCTTCCAGAAGAATGTACAGCAAAAAAAGAAAAGAAAAAAAGAAAAAGAAAAGAAAGGAAGAAAGCAAGGAAGCTACTTACCCAAGAAAGGAGTGTGGCTGCTCGGGTAGCATGGAGTGTCATTTTGGTGATCCCAGTCAGTCACTCCAATGCACCTGGAATGCAAGAGAAGAAGCATGGTTAATAAATCAGATGCCTCCGGATCAATGAATAGAAGAAAAACAATTCCATTTACCAGCTCTGAATATTTCAACAAGACACAGCATTCAACCCACTAGGTAGCACAGAAATTATGAAGACTTCAGAGTAGTCATAAATTACTGTAAAGCTTAAATTGCCAGGGCTCTGACTGCAAAGACTCTTGTACTCATCTCAATGATCACATTTCCCCAGCTGATGGAAAAACAACATTCAAAGATGGTCTGCAGCCTGCTCTTTGGGACATGGTATCCTTCAACAAGGAATAAGCATAGTTTCCTACACTGACCAGGGTCTGCATACTAATTTTATGGGACCATGGTCATGTGACTTTACACAATTAACATAACATCTTTTTGTCTGCTTCATGTGCAAACTGAATCCTTATAAACCTCCCTGCCTTACTGTAGTAATGCAGATAGCACAGTGCCTGGTATATGACAGGTAAATAATCCTGTCCTTAGACTTGGAGATCTGCCTGTCTCTGCCTTCCCAGCACTAGGACTAATGAGAAAACTGGAGATAGGAACTCAGGTTCATTTGCTTGAGCAGCAGAACTTTACCCACTTAGTCATCTCCCCAGAACCACCCCAGTCCCCCAAGGAACATTTAATGTAAGATTAGGCATTTGTCCCAGTAGTCTTACCCCCAACTCACTTTTCCACTGGGAATCTGCCATTTGTCTGCCAACAGGCCCATGGGATCATAGACTTGAGTAAATACTTCCCAGCACCTCCTATCAGCCCCACGATCCCCACAATCTCTGAGAGCACAACTGTCCTCTCCCACCTCCTGCACAATTGCCCACTATGTCACTACTCTAGAAGGATAAGTAAGAATAGAAAGGCCTTTCTTTTACTTAATACAGTTCTACAAATATTAGTATCTCTATGATGTAAGGTCAGTGGAACCAAAAGCTGCTAAGTCCTTTCTGAAAGCAAAGTACTAGGTATAAAGAAAGATACAATTTTTGCCAATAAGGCATTCAGTCAGATAATGAAGATTAATAATCTGGTAACTTCTTATCACCTCCTGGAACCTCCTACCCAATTAATCTGTACTCATCAACCAACCAACCACAAAAAAAAAAAAAAAAAAAAAAAAAGTGTTTTCTTAGTCACTATTCCTTCTTCCTGTCCTGGAAGCTACATGAGAAACAGAACAAACAACATCATTGCCTTTGAGGGATTTTTAGGAGGGTGACAAACAAAACTAAACATACTTGAATCACTAATAGAAGAAAATTAAGTATTAACTATAAGTAAATGCTAATTATAACTATTTCCTGACCCTGCAAAACCCAGCATTTAATACCTACCACCTGTCATATCAGTTCAGTGTCAGACTGAGAAATGAGCCAATTTACATGGTCTTTGGTGGGCACAAGTAAGGTTTTCTCACAAGGACAGACATGCTAAGGGGCCCACCCATGTGTTACTCAATCCTGGATGATTTTCCTCAAGTATGGGCTGTCTGTGAACACTGACTAACTGCCCAGCCCGAGACCAGGGCAGAATGATCTCAACCAGTATGAAACTGGCTTTTGGAGGGTAGTTGGCCAGCCTACAAATTGAGGGACCAGGCTCAGCCTACACAAAAAAAAAAAAGTGGCAATAGTCCACTGCTCACCTAGGGTGCTGGTCAGGGTTATAGCTCAGTGTGAAATTCGTACCTTAACTATGTAAGGTCTTGTGTCCAACTCCTGGCCTGGGGGAAAGTCTCTGCAATCTTCAGTAGCAAGGCAAATGTAGCTCACACCTCCCCCAAAATCCTCACTACTCAAGAAATTTTGTTTGCAACAGGAGATAAATATAGCCCACTCAAAGACTGTACAACCATGCTGGGAGGAAGGGAAGGAGGGAGAGAGGGAGGGAGGGAAAGAAGGGAAGGGGGAGGGAAGGGAGGGAAAAAGGGAGGGACGGAAAGAGAAAGGGAGGGAGGGAAGGAAGGAGGGAGGAAGGGAAGGAGGCTGGGCAGGAGGGAGGGAGGGAGGGAGAGAAGAAGGGAGGGAGGGGAAGAAAGAAGGAAGGAAGAAAAGAAGGAAAGGGAATCACCAGAGATTTAAGTAACATCTTTCTTTTATCTTAGAGGCAAAATTTATAACCCCCAGTGCACTCCCCAGGAGAACCTATCTAAAACTAGTTCACTGCTCAAGAAATCTTACATCAAGGTCAAATGCCTTTTTCTCTGAGGTCCCCAGACACAGAAATAGGAATCCAATATTCATGACTAGAAACTTCTGAAAGATCTTGTCATCAAGACCAGCACAGCACAGTTCAAGACACCAGAGTGCAGCTTTAGGATGGCATAGCCAGTAGCTGGTAATGATGGCTTTCGTGAGTAGCAATGACAGAAACCAGTGGCACAGACATTGCTTAGCACTGACTGGGACTACAGCTTTAAGTAGACTTTAGCAAAGCAGCCAAGGGCTCTCAGCCAGAGCACCATCCTCTCCTCCCTCCCCGTGAAATCCAAGGCAGGCCCCACCCAGAAGCCTGGGTGATGGTGATGGAAAAACAGATCCCTGCAATTTTAACTATCTGTGAGACCTCCCCCAACTCAATCTGACTGGGCATGTACACGTGTACGTACACACACACACACACACACACACACCCCAAAATCACAGATCATAGGCCAGGACCCTAAACTTCAGAGTTCCCACATATCTGATTCTTTGAAAATGAGATGTACCTACATCCAAAGCTGATCAAATATCCTCTTTTTCCTATTCCAAGGAAGACAGAAGAGCAGTGACTTGCAAATGTATGGTTTCTTGTCCTCTTTATACTTCCAAGCTTTTGTAACATAGTACCCTAGATCATGACCAATTTCCACACAAGAAATCCCATTTCCACAAGGACAAGGAGAATGGCACTAAAGAAATATGATGCCACCTGGCTTGCACTCTCTGGATCTGAAGGAGTTAAAGACTAGCCATGGGCTGAGGCTAATGTAAACCACCTGCTAGATCCAAGGGCCAGACCAGAGGGTCAGGTTGCTGAGCTCTGGGGGTCTCTTCTGGAAAAACTAGTTTTAGGAGAAACCAAATGATGCCAGAGGGTATGAGAGGCAGGAGAACTCCTCCCATGTTCCACCCTCCATCTGAGTTCCACCTCCCTTTCAACAGCAGTCCACCTAAATACCACCACCTTAACTGAGATAACACAATGAACTTTGATCTAGACAGCTAACCTGTTCTAAGTCTTCAACTTATGGGCCCCCGCCAAGCCTGAACCCTCATTCTTTTACTGCTCCTACTCCCAGAGTGCCAGGGCCATAGAGGCTTCCACCTCAAGGAGTCATTCCTCCAACCCCACCCCACCCCCAACTCAAAGGTCCCAAAGGCCCAGAGACTCACAGCTGAGAAAATGGCTGCCCCATCTGCATGCACAAGCTCAGGAGCATAACTCACCACCACCGACTCTGGGAGCCACCCTGTCTGTAACAGTAAAAATTCCAGGCTCTTATACTCCTCCTCCACCTGAGCAACATCTGCATTCACTGAACACTGATGTTGGGAGCTCCTCTGGGAAGAATACATCAAGAGACACTGGCAAACCATGGACCTTACCTAATATGTTACCCTAGAAGGCCCTGACAAAGGCCCAGCTACCTTGATAAAATGTTAATTCAACATATAAGGAAGGCTGAGGCAGGAGGCTTGCTTGAACACAGTCTAAAATAAAATAAGCCAAGTGTGGTGGTCCATGCCTTCAATCCCAGCCCTCAGGAAGAAAAGGCAAGCACATCTTGGTCCACATACCAAGTTCCAGGCCACTCAGGGTGACAGTGAAATCCTGTCTTTAAAAAGAAAAAAGAAGCTGTCTTGCCAGTGTATATTCTGACTTAGAAAAAGTTAGTTTTTGTTTTTGTGGGGGATGTCAAAAAAAAAAAAAAAAAAAAAAAAAAGGCTGGGTTGGAGAGATGGCTCAGCAGTTAAAAACACAGGCTGAGCCAGGTGGTGAACATCTTTAATGCCAGCACTTGTGAGGCAGAGGCCAAGTGTATATCTGAGTTCAAGGCCAGCCTGGTCTACAGAACAAGTGCCAGGACAGGCTCCAAAGCAATACAGAGAAACCCTATCTCGAAGAAAAAAACAAACAAAAAGAACACTGGCTGTCCTTCTAGAGTATCCAGGTTCAATTCCCAGCACCCACATGGCAGCTCACAACTGTCTGTCACTCCAGTTCCAGGGAATGCAGGCAAAACAACAATGCACATAAATTAAAAAAAAACAAAACAAAAAACAAACAAACAAAAAAAAAAGGCCAACTACTCAGTGAGATGTAAATTTTTTCTCTATTCTGGAGGAAAGCCCTGAGTAGGCTATGCGGACCAAATCTAAGCAGTTCCTCTGCATTTCTGAAATCAGAAGCAAATGAGCTTGCTAGAGGAATTCTCTGCTTGCTCTAAGGGACTGACTCACTTTGGATTTAGGGCTCTCCCTCTTCACACTGACCCCTCTTTTGTAATCTAGATTTTGATTTTGGCTCAAAGTCCTGAGGCTCTGGAAGGAATGAAGAGGCAAGACTTCAGAGGAAATCCACATTGTTTCTTCAAAAGTTGCTTACTAGTTGTCCTTGATGACTCAATACCTCCAGAGCACTTGGAGAGGCTGAGGCAGGAGGATGGCTTTGAGTTCTCGAGCAGGCAAGGCCATACAGCAAGACCCTGTCTCAAAAGGGTAGGCTAGGAAGGGTAATACCTTTAAAGTTAATGACCTAAAAGCCTCAGGTGGACTGAGAAACTCCAAAATCTGAAGGTAACACGCAAATAACATCTAGGAGCTCCTGACAACCCCAACCCCCTTCAGTATTTACAACTTTGAGACCGCAGGAGTACAGACCTGCAAAAGTAATCTTCCACCCCAAAAAGGTCCCTTGTCTGCCCTACAAAGTCCCCAAGCATCCTGAATCTTCGAAGTTTCCACTTCCGAGAGACTGTTGCCCTCCATTGTTTCAATTAATAAAGGACAATCTGCTTTTGTTGAGGTAGGTCTCTTTATTTACACACCGCCTGGGTCAATCCTGAGCTAACAGTACAGATACCCATTCCTTTCTCCCATATTCCTTTCTCCCATATTCTGTAAGGTCAAGATCCGAAAGATGTCAGCAGAAAGGTTGCTAGAACTGCGGCCTACAGGCAGATCCTGTGTGAGGTGCCCAAGCATGCGCAATACACAGCCCTCTGGGGCAGATCATCAGCACCTACCTCCAACCACTACATCCCACACTCTGACCCCTGGCAGCTGACAAAATGAACAAGTTTTCATTGTTCAACGCCGCAAACGCATCTAGGACCACACAAGGGAATAGTAAAGCCCACTACTGGGCAGTCTCTACAGCTCTAGAGCAGTCACACACACTTCTCTTCCCAAACAAAAACACGCTGACATCTATGAGGGGAAAGAAAGGCGCCAACTCCCGGATGTTGGCAAGCTCTGCTACCAGCGCCTGCTTCTCAGTGTTTACTTGCTCTCCCTTTCCTCTCCCTCCCCTATAAGGATGGCGCAGGAAAGGGAGTTGAGGGGGATGAACCACTCCACCCCACCGCTTCGCTCGTTTCTGGGGGGGGGGGAGAGAAAGAGAGAGGAAAGTCTTAGTGTTGGGGGGACCTTACCGGACTCCTAAAGCCAAACGTTTCTACAGGTTTTAATCCGCCATTAGCATTTAAATCTTGAAAAGACAGGAGTAAGGGGGAGGGGGGGAGGAACAGTGGAACGTAACCCCACACACAAAAGAAAAGTTGTTGGGTTTCTTCTGAGTCGGCCAGGCAGAAGCAATCTTTCTGGCTGACAGCCAGAAGTGCGTCACAGCCAGGAGTCTGCTTTCTTTAAAGGAACAGCGAGCTTCCGCGCGGTCTGGGAGCAACAGCAAAGCCAAGAGCTCTGGGGGAGGGGGCACGCCTGCCAGGAGGACCGAGGCGAAGCCTGCCCGCCCCCTAAAAAAGAGAGCAGGATGCGTGGGGGCAGGGCACGAGCCAGCAGGCACCATTACTGAAGGGAGAGCGCGCGCAGCAAGGCCCCCGCCGCCTGTGGCGTAAACACACAAAGCGCACCCGCCGCGGCCGGCCTCACCAACCTGAGATGGCCAGGACACTCCCACTTCGCTGCTTTCCAGCAGAGCTTAAGGCAGCAGTGATGGCCTGTCCACCTCTTGAGACCAGCCCAGTCGGGCAGGCCCCGACCCGTCGAATTTAAGGCCAGCCACTGGCGGGAAACGCGCCCTGCGCAGAGGAAGCAGGAGAGCCGAGCGCCAGGGAGCCGCACAACGCAGGCCTTTTACAGGGGCAGCTTCCTGCGGCGCCTGCGACGGGGGGCGTGTCTGCAGGCACACACTCAGCCGCCCGCCCTGCGGCACACAAAGCACAGGCCTCCTTCCTCCGCGTTGCCTGCCCGGGGACTTGGCCACCCTATCCCATTCCCTGCGGGAAACCTCTTCAGCCCGTACCTTCTGCGTAGCAAGGCCAGGATGTCATGCTGTGCCTGCTCCTCCCACTCAGCCACCCAAACAAGCAACCCAGGCAGATTCTGGCTGTGGAGCGCAGGCCTGTGCTGTCCAGTCCTGGTGGCTGCGCTATTGTTGACTTGGAATGGCCGCCAAAATCCCAGCTGTGCTGCCAGAACCTAATCCCGTTCCTCTGGGCATTTATGGGGAGGGGCTGAGGGGCCAAGGCACAGTTCTGAGTATGGCAGGCACTGGTTGGAGCCCTTAACAGACACAGGCACAGCCAGAGTCTGTTGCAACTACATGCCTAAAAGAAAAGATGTCTGACTCAGACAAAACCACAGTAGCGTTTCCACCCACTGAAGAGCCAAAGCTGCTGGGGAAGCCTACCAAATAGTTAAAAGGAATCCCCTCATTTTACAACTAGAAACACTGAACTGTGTTCAAGGTATTGTTATTAAGGATTGTTGAGAATACCCATGCAAGAATTATACCCAACATATGAAGTAGGGCTATAATTCCACAGATCAGAAATGGACAAAAACTTTTTGTTCAAAAGATGGAACATAGTAACTCCCATAAAAGATGTGAAGAAACTAACCAGTTCAGGGTAGAAACTAAGATGATATTTTAATCTGGAACTCAAAGCACCAAACAGATTTTTCCTCTGGGGAAAGGGAAAAGGCAGAAAAGTGTGGTAGCAGTGAAAGGACAGGTGCCAAGGGTGAGCTGGGGTCAGGATTGGAAAAGCTTGAACTTCAATGGATCAAATGATGGGTTTAGAGTATTCTTAACAACAAGCTGTGTTATGGGACAGATATACCTGATAAATGGTTCTCTAGCAGCACTGTGAGTTGGGAAACTACTCCAATAGGTGGGAAAGGTACTGAGGACACAGGTGGTAAACAGAATAGTTAAAAGGGAAATGAAAACCATAGCAGAGAGAAGCTGACAGAAAGCAAGAGGAAACCCAGACCCGCCATGGTAGTGCATGCATAGAACCCCAGCAATCGGGAGGCGAAGGCAGAAGGCAAGGTCAAGGCCAGTCTGGTCTACTACTGGAGTTCCAGGCCAGACAGGGCAACACAGTAAAACCCAAACAAAACAGAGGAGGAGGAACTGTACAGGGGGAGAAAATGTATGGGATCATATGTGAATCAAATGTGAGGAGGCAGTGAGGCAGTAGCTACTGTTTATTAAGTACCTACTAATGTTCCTCAAGCTATTCTACTGACCTAATGTGTATCATTTCATTAGGCTTCAATACCTCTTTATGAAGAAGACAAATTACAACTCAACTGCAGACATAAGGAAAATAAGTCACAGAAAAACTATCTTCCACACATCACTCCTAACTTGCAGTTAGCTACACAGCCCTGGTAAGTAAGAGCCTCCTTTGCTTTAAGAGTATGAGTATTAACTCAGTAACATTCACAGGGTTCCTAACACACTGACACTGAGCACATATTCCACAAAGGTTGTTTCCTGTTTGAAATTTTGGTTCCTGTCACCAGAGTGCCCCAGAAGATGGTTCACTAGTGCTGAAGAAGTTGGAGCTGTCTCTCCTGGAACAGGGGATGGTGCCTTTTCCCCACCGGTCTACTTTTTGGCTTTTACTTTATAGAGACACCTCAAATCTCACTTCCTCCAATACCAACAGTTAACAGTAGCAGATTATTGGGAACAATCACTTAGGGACTTCCTATACTATATATTTTTATGTTTGGATTTTTTAATTATTCAATTTTTTGAGACAGGATTGCTCTGTGTACAGAGTTGCTCTGGCTGTCCTGTAACTTGCTCTACAGAGCAGGCTGGCCTAGAACTCAAAAGATCTACCTGCCTCTGCCTCCAGTGTTGGGATTAAAGGTGTGCACAAGCACAGCCCGGCTGGATTTATTCTTAATAACCATATACAGGAAGGCAAGATGGCTCAGAAGATATGCCTGGCCTAAGCTGAAGTCCTGGGATTCACATGGTAAAAGAAAACTGACTCCCAAGGGCTGTTCTCTTACATACACAACACATGGTTTTTAAAGTATTTAAACATTGCAATAGCCATGTACACTAATCTTACATGTATTTGCACGAAAGTCCTATGTCCGGCCTAGAATGCCAACTCCTTAAGGACATATACCCCAATTCCCTCTTTATAATCGGCCATAGTCTCTAGCTTACTAAGGCTCATTAAATCTGTTCTACAGAACTACATTTGGATGGCAGTCCTCCAAACACAACCTCTAGCCACCACTCTATGCTGAGTGGAGATGACGTGAGGTCAGATACATACCTACCACTGCAGAGACATTGCTTCTCCTAGACCCATGGCCTGTTCTCACCATCCTTTTGTAGTCTGTACTTAACAAATGCTACTAGTAAAAAGGAAGGCTCATATTTAAGGGACTGCCACAAATACAAATTTTCACTTTGTTTTGATGGTGTTTTTTTTTTTTGGGGGGGGGTGTCGAGATGGTTTCTCTATGTAACAGCTCTGGCTGTCCTAGAACTCACTTTGTAGACCACACTGGCCTTGAGCTCAGAGATCCTCCGGCTGCCTCTGCCTCCTGAGTGCTACTATTACAGGCAAGAGCCAACACCGCTCAGCAACACAAATTTCCACACTCCATAGAAAAGTGGCAAAAATAAAGGGTGACACTCAATACCCTAGGAAATTAGTTAAAATTAAGAGAATTACTAAACTCCCTACCCTATCTCTACAGCCCCATTTGGTACTTCACAGCTAAGACAAAATTGATGCTGTACCTCCCCACCTTGCCCCTGCCCTAAATAAAAGGTGGACAGCCTAAACTTTTCAGCCAACTAACTTTTGGGCTAGCCAGGAGGTTTGCCAAGTTTCTGCACCAAGTCTCTTCTCCAGTGCAGAATAAAATTACCTTAGCCCCTCCTACTCAAGAAAGATCACTTGGCTCCAGCCAGGTTCTGCAAGCCATTCACTACCCACCCACACAACCTCCAACACACCAAAATAAAAAAGAAACAAATTTTTTTAAAAAGGAGGATGAGAGGATAAGAATACTGAAAACATTTAAAGAAAGAAAAGGGTTGGAGAGGAGTTGGCTAATATAATGCAGGAGTGAGTTCTGATAGAAGCTGGAAAGAATAGTGTTTAGTTAGAAGCAAATGTGTTCTACAGAATTTTAGTGTTCATTTTATTATTCTTGTTTAAGATGTCAGTGTTACAAGTTTTCGTGTACATTACCCCCCTTTTTTTTTTTTTTTTACAATTTAAACAAATGACAGGAAGAAGGCTATGCTTTAACTCAGTGGTTGAACACTACCTAGCATATATGAAGCTTTTGGTTTTATCCTCAGAAATGAAAAAGAAAGACCCAAAGAAAGTAACTGCCCCGAGACAGCCCAAAACTGGAGTGATTCTAACACAAATAACTAGCAGAGTATCCAAGGCCTCTATAACCTGGTTCCAGTGTTTCCTCCTAGTCATTCAGGCCTTTACCCAAACACTCCACCCAGCCAGGCAGATCTGTAAAATCAAAGCTTTTTCTGAAGATTAGACGGGATATCTTTTGCAGAGGACTGGCTCTAGGGACAGACACAACTGGGCTCTAGGATCTAAATTGTTGGCTGAAACACTTTCTAGCTAGGTGACCTTATGCAAGTAATTTAAGCTTTCTAATTCTCAGGTTCATTTTCTCTAAAACAGATAATCATGGTTATTATTATTTACCTCACTGAGTTAATGTGAGGACTAAAAAAACAAAACATGGCAAGTGCTTAGTGTAGTTACCTGGTGCTATTAATTACAGTAATGGCAGCAACAATGATGGTCTAGGTATTTATTATGCCAGGATATCAAGTGGCAGAGTAAAGACCAGAAGACGCTGCCTATGGTTGTTTTAAAGATCACAATGTCTGAGGTTCAAGACTTGGGTAATTTGTTTACATGAACTAGTATTAAGTGGGATGTTGTCTACCATGTCCCATTACATTAGAGAAGACAGTCATGAATAAATAAAAGTACATTCTTGCCAGGTGACAGTGGCACATGTCTCTAATCCCAGCACTTGAGAGGCAGAGGTGATGAATCTCTGTGAGTTCAAGGACAGCCTGATCTATATAGTGAGTTCTAGGACAACCAGAGCTATATAGTGAAACCCTGTCTTGAAAACAAACAAAAACTAGCAAGACTCATTAGAAGAAACAAGCACTAAAGAAAAGCCTTCCACTAGAGAGATGCTGGTGATCCCTCAGGATAAGAAAGAAAAGCTGGTTGAAGGGATGGACTGTTTCAGAGGCCTGACCTCCAGCTCATTTATCACCACCCTGTTCTCCCTCTCCAGAGGGCAGTGGTGGTTAATGAGTCACTGTTGGAAACCTGAAGCTTCCTGGGGAGAAAAGCAGAGGGCAAAGCAATACCCAAAAGGCCACACTCAGTTCTCCCATAAGAAGGCCTTTCTACAAAACTCTTAGGACCTGTCTGCCCTGTTTCATAGTAAAATGGTTGTGTGCGCCTATAGGCAATATATCTGGTATAGCATTTGCTCATAAGCACAGAATTATAAAAAAGGGGCAAAGAAAACCATCAGCAGGAATTTGACTGTAACTCTCAGTAACAGCCTTCACTCCATAGTGGCCAAAAAAACACGCTACATTTGATGTTGAAAGCACCTGAAGATGAGTTCTGGACAGGTCACTACAGGTCACTTGCTACCTATGTGGCTTTGGGCAAACCACTGTCCCTAGCTTGGGTCTCTGTAACAAAGGGGATTAGACTAGAGCATATCTAAAGTACTCTTTTGATCCCCAAAATTCCCATGATTCTAATCAAGGATAACATACCATCTACCTCTGATCCTGCCACAGCACT